GATGAGAGCACCGCTCTTTCTTCGATATCCTGGAGTTGATGTTTGAGGTTTCAACTTCCTGAGTCATCTCATCCTGTCAAGGGTCTTTATTATATTGAAGGAGCACCAAGCACCCAATCACAGTGCATCCTAGGCTATGATGGAAATACACAGGAAATCATCATATGCTTTTGCTAATTGAGGGGCATTCAAATGATTGCAAATAATACAGTGGGAAGTAGTGTGTGTAGATCATCTTGAATTTGTTGGCAAATTTCCATGCCATTCCCATTTACACTGGTCTTAATACTGGCCTCATTAACTGCATCCTGTATTCATCAGCAGTAAAACACTTTGTTGTAATTGTCTCTTTTAAATTCATATCAGTGCAGTTCCTAAAACGTCTCAGAGAGTTTAAAAAGGCAGAGTTTGAAAAGTAAAATTACCCTAAGCTTTAGTAGGACATTGTATGAACGCTGAGCTCTTTATATTGACAAATGCATATTTCTCTCTCATTTACGCCACATGCTGCTCACGAATCACCATTACTCCACTGACTTCACTGTAGGACATCGCTAATGGTGTTTTTCTGATCCCAGATTTGCACATTCAAACTACAGGCTTTTGTTTTGCAGGCTATTTTTGCATTTCAATAGCAAGAGAAACCTTGCTCTAACCTTGTAATCACAGAAGAAATAGTTTATTACCAGTGTTAAATTCTATTATTTCTTCAAATCTTCTAAATCTGTATGTTTGCTCTCTTTAATGAGTAATTTATGTAACGTTTTGAGAGTGACAAAATTCAAGTTCTTATTTTAAAACAAGCTCATTTAATTTGTCTTTGCCTTTGGTAAAGATTAAATCAAAAATAGTTTGCAATAAATCATATTTTAGTTAGTAAGTTAAATTGCTATTGCTTGCCACCAGACTCTATAGACAAAAAAGTGTAAGACCATTGTAACTTCATTTAGTGTGGACAGAAACAAAGTAAAACTCACCAAAACTGTCTTTGTTAGTGATCATAAGTAATGTAAGCACAACACAAGTAGCTGAAGACAACCCACAAAGATATTGTCAACAATCACAGTTTATGAGTTAGACACAGTTATTACTAACAGAGAAAGCAGGTTTACTTACACATGCAGCACATAATGAAAGAAACCAGTTTTTTCAAAAGAGAAGCTAAGAAATGTATACCACTGATGTAAAAAATGTTTTATATCAACAACGAGATAAAGGCCGTCTTGGGAATGCTGAACCTGCTGTATGTTGTGTTGGAATTTTATGGCAGTGATTTCTGTACCAGCCCAACATGAAAACTCCCAGTTTTGTGTTTGTGTCAGTTTTCTGCATTTTTCCTTTTTGTCTGAATTTAAAATACTGCTGCACTCTACCATTCCCAAAGACAGTAGTGAGAGTAGGGGAAATTAGCATTTGTTATAAAAAAAAAGTGTACACTTATGTCACAAAACTCACCACACAACCACAAAAATAGAAATGCACTTTGCAACTAAACCCAGTCAAACTTTGACCAAAGGTCAGTATTTATCAAGGTTTAGTGAGATAATAAAGCCAACTTTCATTGAATTCAAACTTGATGATTTAATTTCCTTCTTCTTTGCCTGTCTCACACTTAACGGGTCTTAAGGTTAAGGCAAATAGAGAAGCTACAAAAACAAACATTCAAGCAGTGAGCGTCAGTCCTTTTTTTACAACAGTACAAAAACTGGTCACTTTTCAACTGCCTGGCTTCATTGGTTTCATTACACCACAATTTGTGGTTTGAAATAATGGAGCATTCTCTGCTTCTTCATCTGACATCAACAGCAAATATTTGGCATTATTTGGTGATTTTACAACTATTGTTACAACTGGACTGAACAGGGCAGCTAACAAATCCCAGTTAGTGCCCTGCTGAGCAGCCTCAGTTCCAATTACAGCGTATGTACTGTAGGCTCCTCTTGACACCAGCAAAGGCCAGTGATCCCAAACTTTTCACATTACAGGCATTGTCATTATCTTCAACATAGTCGTGAGCATCATTGTCATTGTCATCATTGTCCTTAGAGGTGCAGGTTGAGGAGAAGAAGAGCGGGAGGTGAATGTATTTGGTGGATTCATGTTGAATTTGTCTCAGTGTATGGACAGTCTTTGAGGCAGCAGAGGGGCTTGTGGGTAGTGTGTCCCAGTAGGTGATGGCTAGAACAGGAGATCAGGGGTGTCACACTTCACATCTCCGTGTCAGCCACAGGGGTTTGGGTGGCAGAGTGTCCGTTAGTGGTGGGAGCAGGGTTGGTCCCATTTTCTGGTGAAGACTCACCATTGGCGGTCGGTTTATCGAGGGGCTCCTGTGGCAGGGGAGCCACAGACACCAGGGTATTAGCCTGGTTCTCCTCATCCACCTGGAAAGATTCGGCCTAAGAAAAGCCCACAGACAAAACTGATATCAGCACTCATACAGGTTTAAGATACACATTTAACACTTTACTGTTCAAATACGTTGGGCAAACAAATGGATGTTGTTCAAAAGTAAACAAATGCATTCTTTGTAATTGAGGTTTATGGGTTTCAGCTGTGTTTGCACTCAGAAGGGTGTCGGTAATTGTTTTACTGTTGGGAGGTTAACAAAATGCATGCTTTTGCTTTGCTTCTAGCTGAAAATATGAACCCTGTTGTAAGGGACTTTAAGTTTGGTGCTTTGTCTGTTGGCAAGAACTTTGAGGATAATATTTGACGCCTGCGACAGAAACGTATTCAATAAATGAGGCACCAAACAAAGGCAATTTTGCAATCTACTCCATCCATTCCATCACATGGGTGTGCCCTTTTTTTTTTTTTTTTTTTCACATGGGTGTGCCCCCATATGTAAACGCTTTTAAAAATGATGTCATGAGCTTGAGAGAAAAAAAAAAACAACCAAAACCATCTGTAGCCCCCTGGCAAGGGGTAAAAAAAAGTCAGTGCTGCTTTGAGTTAAGGGACATGTGAGTCAAGCATGTCATCCCTTGAGTAAGGAATTTACTGGAGGATAACCATACATTTGACCTCAAATCCATATTCTTTCAAATAAATAGTCACAGTGTACAGTTTCCTCAGTGAACTGGATCTTGTAGGACCAAATTATCTTAGGTCAGTAAAGATGGTTGCTTCACTGCCAGCCCATAATGCCTTTTTTTTACTCGCACTGAAGGGGGCAATACAGCATTGAGAGAAATGTTGGTCCAGATAGGGTTACTTTTTAAGGTAGTCAGGGTCTCTATAATTGAACTTTGTCTAATACCTGACCTCATGAGTGCATTTAGAAGCAGCTTAAACATGACGATAATGATATATGTGATGTGAAAACCCACATTAATGTTTCCTGAAGTATGACGAACTGGAGATTCACCTCTAATCTACTCACCAGTCTGACTCCTTTGGAGTTCTTGCGGTGAGTCTTGAGGTAATAACCAGCTACCAGCAGTGCAGCCAGCAGCAGGCCCGCTAGCAGCAAGGAAACCAGCACTAACTTAGAGTTCTTCCCAAAACGAGGGACAGCCTCCTCCACATCGGTCTAACAAAAATGAGAACAAAATTACCATGAGTTAAGTGTTCACATTGTGTGTCTATAGCAAGTCAAACCTTCAGTGCCTCTAGCAAACCAAACAAATCCTCAAACACTCTGTACAGACTAAATCTGACACACATGAAAACACGAGATACAAAGCAGATGTTAAGGTGTTCTTTTTGTGTAACTGTTACACTGGCAGAAAAAGATATTCATTATCTGGTTACTCCTGTCTAGTGAATCGTGACTGAAAGTTGGAAAAAGAAAACAACCCCACTCAATGCCTTGTTTATGGAGATGTACCTACATAATTGGCAGTATTTCCTCTGGCTTCAAGGCAGGGTCAGAATAAAAAGTTAGTAGATGATAGATGGTGTAATGAATAATGAAGATTGACTGTTTGGCTGAAACATTGGAAAATTGGTTCATTCAGTATCTTTGGAGTAAAGAGGGAAATGAAGTGTATGCAAATAGAAAGAGGGGTGTGACAGGCACACCCATAACCCGAGATTGTTCCCTAGGTAGTTGAAAAAATGTTTTGCAGCTGACAAGTGGGTTGTTTGTGGGCTTTTTGTTTGTCACACAAACTGTCAGCCTGGCTTCTTCAAGCCTTTGGAAAAGTCTACAGACAGTGTTTTTCTTCTCCCTAGTGTATTTCCCCTGTCTGGTTTCATTATGAGTCAACCCGCAAATTTATGGTGACTGAGTCTATTGGAACTGTTTACTTTTGGATTCATATATTCTAGACCCTTCGTGGTGGGATGTTGGTAGAACATGCAACATTGAGTATCAGCTTGGTCCATTCCTTGTACATTAGCAACCATGATACATTTGGAAGAGAATCAAAGTCACACCTGTACAATATAAGTGGTACAGTACCTTATCCTTGATGTTGTCATTGTTGAACTTGTTAGCCATGCCGGAAACATCAGCTGCAAATAACAAAAAAATGCAATTTTATTTACAGAGAAGTGGAAGTAGAGATGCCAATTCACAAAAAGATGACTCATTGTAACTGCCAGTAAAGTAAATTGGAGTCATCTGACGCTAAAAAATATATAATCTGTATCATTGTATCATATAATGTATCAGCTGAATGTTTATGAGGTGTGAGAACGTGCTTTGTCCATCTTTTAGTTTTGTATCACCACAAGAACATTACTGACCTTCAACATATTTCCCAGAAACAAGAATTTCGTCAGAGTTGTCCTCCTGGAAGATCTCCAGTTTACAGTCTTCACCACACAGCTCCTGCAGAACACTTTCAAGCTTCACTTTAGTTTCTTCCTGCAAGGAGACAAATAAAAGATAATTAATATTTAAGCATTTTTCATTTATTTTAATTTATCAAATCCATGTGACATTTAGTGCAAATTCCGAATGATTAGCTCCAGACAAAATATCGCCTTGAATCTTCGACTCCTCTAATCCTCTAATCCCTTCACCTTCTGGTTCTTTATCTTTGTCTTTAATCCATTAAGGGCTCTCACAACCCTGTGCACACCCTCTTCCCTGATGTAATCTGATCCAAGCATCAGAAATATACTGTAGGAGTGGACAGATGGCTTTCTTACAAGACAGCGTAGCTATGGGCAGGACACAGTGACCTCTATCTGGAAATATTTGTCTTAATGTGATCTGTTTTTGAACACAGTATGACATTTAGTCTTTACATTGTCTCTGCTATTAAGTGCATGCACTGAGACTCTAGTTGATCCTCTCCATCACTCAGCTGGATGGATATGTCACTAAAACCTGGTTTATTTACAGCTCCATCATCCTTTCATCCAGTATCTCAGATCAGGAGGAAAAAATTCATTACTAAAATAATCCACTCCTTAAACAACACAGAAGTTGAAGCTTTGACACCCTCCTCCGTGCTTCACTCCTCCTCATTGAGGAATATTACATTACATAAGAATGTCTTTAAGAAATTGAAATAGTTTATTGCACCATAGGATCGCACCAAATGAGATTAAGCCATGATTCATTTTTAAATTATATTGGAAACATGGTTTGAAACAATAAATTTTAGGCCATTAGACCAGATTATTTGTAAAAATGACAGTATTGGGTTGGATGAAGCCAAAAAATTTAAGTTGTCCAGAAAAAATGAATAAAAGACAATTATTATTTTCTATTAATTCTGGGTTTGTTGACGTCTTTGTGCACAAGGACCCCTTGGTTGTAATATTTTGTTGCTTTCAGCTGCTGCTATGCATTGTTTAAATGTTGAAAAAAAGCTTTTACTGCTCAGGCTATATGAGAGCCATAGCTGAAATCACAAAATCACATAGGCACTGTGATTCCTGTAGACCTAAAAGCTGTTTTTCTGTGACACTGAGGAATTTGTATTTCTAAACAAACACACCTACACTGCTGCTTCAAGCCTCTATACATTTACACATTCTACGGCAGCGTCGAGCCCACCCATTGTGCTGCCCTGGCTCATATGCAACAGCAATCTCTTTGGACTTCCCTCTCCACCCAAAGAAATAGATGTTTAAAATGATGGATGCAGTGTTTCTTCAGCTTCACTGATTTATGGGTACAGAGATAAAACAGTCGCTGCTTCCTAAATAAGGGAGAATTTCCTGCTGAGCTTATGTTTAGCAAGCTGATAGCCAACTGGGAATGGCACCAAAACCAAGCTAGAGACCGTTTTCTTTCTAGTGCAGTTTGTTGGTTTGTGTGTATGTTCATGAATATTTTGCACTCCTACAGTATCATGGCCCTGAAAGATTATTTAAGCAAAAACTCTCTCCTTTTTTCCTTTGTGTTCTGCAGCACAAATAGATTTTTATTCTATAGAAGGAGGTTTTCTGAACTTACACAGTTGGAGGAGGCCTTGAGTTTTAGATTGACAGCGTTTTTGTCCTGGACCGCCTCTTTGCTGACACAGACAACATCATCCTGTGGCACTGGCTGCAAAGAGAAACCAAAACTTCTTAATTATCCCATAATTTACTTACGCTTTGTACCGTCCTGCATGTCATGGGTCAAATCGTACAGAATAATTAGGTGAGCGGCCAATCCCTTTGATGTGTTATAGCACACAGTATGGTGCACACTTAATATACTATGTTAATGCCCCTTCTATTATGAGAATAAACCTTTATTTTATGTTTTAATTCTATTTGAAATCATCACAAAGAAAATGCAAATGTGTACATGCAGCACATACTATAGCTTAGGAACAATCTCAGATTTTCTTTGGTTTTTGTAAGAGCCCCACTGGTTATGGGACTGATATCAATTATTCATACATTACAAATTTGTATCCACTTATGTCTGGAAGCACAACATTTGTAACCAAGACCAAACAAATGTGGTCCGCAGAGATGCACTACATCTTGCTACACTTGCTTTCTTATGTAAAAACCACCACTGCTCCTCCTTCTCTGCTTTTGCACCGTTTGTAAATATTCTTCTCTTAGTGTCATTTAAAACACTAGAACATTTGGTGTAAAAGATGTATCTTACCATGCCAAAGAAAGACTTATTATTATCGTTATTCTGAGCTCTATATTTTGAAAAAAATAACTTGGGTGCTAGTTGCCTTATCAGATAACATTTTGTTTCTCAATGTAACCCTACAGATACAGCCAGACTACATATTATATGCAAGTAACCTAATATCGACATGACTTAATGACAGACTAAGTGATCTAAAGGGACTTCTTCATCTTACCTTTGGTACCTTTGGTATGTTGTTTTGTGGCCCGTCGCCTCTGGCAGGCATTGGTGCTGGGGTCTCTGCTTCCACGTTTTTTGGTATATCAGTAAGCACTTTAACTGTGAACTCAGTTGCCTCAGTTGCAGGGCCGCTATTGTCTCCTTCCTTTTCAGTAGCTGCTGCTTCTGCTGCTGTAGTAGTCTGTTCATTTAGAAGTCCCACAGAAGGAAAAACAGCGACTTGTGGATCGTCTGTATCTGCAAAAGATGATATTTTTATTAATTTATTTGAAGTGTTTGTGAAAATTTGAGTGTGAGTGAAATAGAGTCCTCGTTTTTCCCACCAGTGGGTCCTTTGTTGGCATTGATGCATCAATTAATAGAGTAAACCTACAGATATTTTTTTTAAATAAATGGTAGTATACAAGTCGGTGTTTCTTACCAGGAACTTTAGTTGTTCGTTCAATCATGTCTCCTCGTGCATTCAAATTTGGCGCCGTTGCTGCTTCAATTTCCCCATCCTCTGCCATGACTCCTGCTGTAAAGTCAGAAAATGGTTTTATGTTACCTTGTATGAAAAATAGACATTTCTGTGTAAATTGTCTCATTTACATAGATGCAAGGGCATATTATTAAATCGGTGAGAAAACTCCATCACATACTGACATCAATCCTACAAATAAACTTACTATGAAGCTTAGTGATGAGCTACTATTCTCTTATCAGCTCTGTCACAATCTGAATTTGTGGATTTGCTGTGCAGTAAAACATTTCGACAGCTCTCTCAGCATGACCTTAAATTATCAAGTCTCAGCACTGAAGAACTGTCCGCCATTAATAACGCACTTGTGGACTAATTCTTCTGCTCAGCCTGAGAAAATAAACTGTCCCTCAGTACAAGACCTGGACTGGTCCTCCAGGCCAAAAGCTCTGACCTCCTGTTCACTTCCACTGGGACAAATGCTATGAGCTTCTCAGGCAAATCTGTCAGCTCAAAGAAAACATGTTTTTAGCAATACAATGGACTTGTGCCAAATAATTCAACATTTTCAATATTAGAAAGATATTCTGTGTTATCAGAAGGGTGCAGTTTACACATTGATATGAACCGTCAATCACAACCAAAAGAGTTCTGTTTAGCTTTTAAATGCCCTTTTTTTTGTCTGCATATTGTGTTATTATTTCTGTGCCAAACTCTACATGTGGTCACTTGCTGCTGTTTTTAAAGGACAGTTTTCAATTTGTGCAGTGCGAAGGATTTAGTGACATCTATTGGTGAGACTGCATGACTTAAAATACTTCATATATGCTTCTGTATGCGATGCATACTTCTGTCATATTCTGCACATGGAGCCCCCTAAATCTTACACACTGGACCTTTTTTATTTATCACAAGCAAAGGTAAAGCTACTCTGAAGAAACATGAGGTATTATCCCACACTAACTCATTATGGTTCAGCAAGCATGATTTGTTTAAGTTGTAATGTGAGGTAGAAGCTCATAGCTCGGATGGACTGCAGTTTTCACCAGTGTGCTGTCTTAACGTCAATAATCATCCTAATGCATGAACTCAAGCAGTGTATGAAAGCTCTTTTGTGTGCTCACAGTAAGATTTCTTTGTGTCCCAAGATGCCTCTGCAGTGATTGAAGATTAGGTAATAGATCTTATTGCAGTAGATAACTGATGCTCTCATGAAGTCATTTACTTTGAAATGCAATCTTTCTCACTCTGGGGCTTTTCAAAAGATCCTGTGGTCAGTGACTCAGGCACAAGTGGGATATACAAAATACGTTTCTGAAATATATTATGTGAGAGGATTTTTTCCATCAACCCTGTTTAACAGTTAAATGCCCCGATTAAACGTGCTGTTGAAAGGTGCCAGGTAATGATTCCATTGAAAACATCACACATTTTTGAATAATGCAATAGGCCATTATACAATTTTCCACTTTCAGGAAGTTGTATGACTTTGGGGTAAGGGTGCTTGATAAATTGCAACACTAAATCAAAGTCTTGATAGGATATTTCTAGTCAGGTTCTTTCAGCTGTTAATTAGTTCACCTGCAAAATTGTAATAACCTGGATAACTTCCAGGGCACGTTTTATTCTCTGGGCTAATTTGTAAAATATGCCACCACACCCTGCAGTCGCTGAACTGCTCTGATTTGCTCAGGTCAGATTGCAAGGTTAATATCCAGAAGTCAGACCAGAATACCCAGCATGCATTCCTTGTACCCAGATTTCCCTCTCAACAACAGCATTACTTCACTCTCAAAACATTCCCATAATGCCTTACCTCTGCAGATCTCATTATTTCTCACTGGCTGCCAGATTAAGTTCATAGATTGTTTGTAAATGCAGTGTACTGCCCCCTGTTGAACCAGATTGTACTGCCACTTGTTCCTTTTAACATTGAGATTGAATTTAATTGCTGGCTTTGTTTTCATTGTGCACATATGTGACTGTACAACATTAGCTTAAAATATGTTGTTAAATTTGTGAATGCTAATATTTTTTATACTGTACTCAAACATTTAATTTGGTAGTTTGAAAAGTAGAAATAATAAATAAGCTTTTTGAATGCTGGCCTGCTTGACTAACTATTTAAACAGCATAACAAAACATGTGTAACCTGATTCATGTTTATTTGGGCAATAAATTGTCATAACGTTTAGTTTTATAGTAGTATTATATACTTAAGTGAAATTTAAAGGACTTAAAAGTAGTGTAAAAGCGCTTTGAGTGGTCGGAAGACTAGAAAGGCGCTATACAAGTACAGGTCCATTGCCATTTACCAAAAGTAAAGATGCACTTTGTTTACCACATTAACACTTCACACTCCATTTGCCTTCTTACATGTTGATGTTTTTTTCTCTCCTCTGTTACACACTGGTGTCCTCATGGTGATCTCACTGTCTCTAGTCACTACTTGAGGTTTTCACATACTGTATATTCACACAGTGGTGGGACTGTGACACATGTCCACTCACTTCCTTTGATAAATCATTGTGACAGACAGGTGCCACAAGTACAGAGTAAACACTGTGTGCCGTGCTGGCAGGTGGGGCAGTAATCTCCAGGGAGGTCTTCAGGCAACTGTCCATTGCAGCTGTCTGTCATACAGTATCTAAACAGGGGAAATAGACCTACACTTAGTAACTGGTTCAAATAAATAAGAAAATACATCAGAGTCACTGGCCTCTAGGCTGTTTTGCACTTTCCTTACAGATGGTGGGCAAGTTTCTGTAGAGAGCCAGACTGTTGCTGAATTTAGTGCCTCATTTTAGTATCCTCGGTGTCTCTAGTTTACCATTAGGAGCATTAGCGTGGGTGTGGACCAGGTCAAGGACTCCCTAACCTTAAGTCTGTCTGTTAGACCCCCGGTCTGTAGCCTATGGACTACAGCTGCAATGCCTCACCCATCTCTGGGTGGTCTGTCTGTTTATTTCACTGGAAAAGATGAGGTTAAAAATGGATAAGATGGTTGGAATAAGTCAGGTTTTCTCATACAAATGTGACACATTTTCTCACACAGGAGTGCGAGAGTGCAGAGGCTGAAATGTGTTGTTTCAGCTCTGTGATCGCTTTACATTGTCTGGTGGTTTGTAGACAGGCGGGTAAGACTCTGTCACTGGTGTTGTAAAATAAAACAGTAAAGATTGAAGCTGTGACTCATGGGTATATTTAATTTTCAGTAACAGTTTGGGGTTTTGGGCTGTCTCTGGTGGGATATTGGTGAGATATTGTGGTGAGTGACTGGAAATTAAGTCACATTTCCTTTTACAATGGAGAGAACCACACTGGAATCGACATTTATTTTAACACAATTTTCCTGTTTATACAGCACATGTTTGAGTCTGAAGGATTAAGGAGGATATTAAATCCATACTGTAAAAATTAACTGTTTTACTAGTCTTCTGCTAATGATGTCATGGCAGCGCATATTTGTAAAACTTGGCAGATACATTTTCATAACGCAAAACATCCTCGTTTGAGCGAGCTTTTCTAGCTTTAGAACAATACGTTATGTCCTGTTTTTTGTTTTGTTTTGTTTGTTTCCAGTAAATCCTCTCCAGCTCACTGACCATTCATCACTCATTACACAAACAAACTTCCCTAACAGACCAGAGCCCGAATGGAATGAAACCTCTGCATATAACTAACTCTTATGGCCAGCATTTACAGAAACAGCACGATCTGAATGACTGCCTTTTATTGTTTTGTTTTGAATGTAGACCTAAAAGGTTCAAGTCTGGCTATTATTAATTTCAGGACTTGATGCTTCCTGTTACACAATCACCATGAATTGTTGGCTGCTTTGCTAATATTTATTTACTGGATGAAGAAGAAACAGTAAGGACCTGCAAGTAGTAGAAATTAGATTGTAAGCTTGAACTGTAGCTTTGTGCTGTAATATAATACAGTGATGTCTCTGGTGTTTGCTGTAGCCCTGTTCCCTGCGTGAGGTCAGCACACTTCCTGACAGTGTGACCTCTGAACCCATCATCACCTCACTGCCCTTTACCCTTCACTCCCTCATTCAGCAGGAGCCACAGCTAACGGTGATTATTCACTGATTTGATTGAACCATTCCACTGATGCATAATGTACACAACCCCTCATACCCACACAGACTTGTCTTTCATTCCTTTGTTTTGTGTAATGTTAAAAAGCAGCCAAGATATCAGTCAGCAGTCATGTGTCTTGCTATCATTGCATGACAAACCTAATCAGCTCTGACTCCATATGTTATACAGCCTAGGCTCTCGAAGATTTTCCCACCATATTGCTCTGAGTGACATCTGCGGTCTGGAAATGCTCTACCCCACACCCCCCGTCTCTTGGGACTCCGGATGGAGGAATGTGGCGGGCTTTGGAAGAGGACAAGCTTGCAGCTCCACGCCCTTTCCCTCCCAACCCTCCCTGTCTGCTCGCCCTCTCCAAGTCACGCACAGCTAATCCCAGGCATCTATCGAGGTGAGATGTAGGCTTCAGCCCTCACACCTCCCACACCACATAGTGTAATGTAAAGCAACATGCCAAGAGCCATAAAGTAACAGCTACTTTCTCTTCCGTGGCCCTGGGAGGCTTTGCTTGATTTCAGTCTCCTAAGCTTGCTTTGTATCGTATCTAATATGCTAAACATGCACTCGTTGCAAATTAAGGCGCAATGTTCTTGTTCCATTTGAGGAACTAGAACACATCTTTGTACACAACCAATGGCTCCCATTCATCTGCAATTTGCATTGTACACCTTCTATTGTGTGCCTCTGTATGTGAAACATGAACCAGCTGGCTACGGCATCCAGTCCCAGCCTGGCTTCCAGAGAAATTCTGAGCTACGTTTAGGAGGGACAACCTTGCCGCCCAACTCTCCCAGCTTCCATTGCTGTGTAATGGGGCACGGTGAGGTGATAATGATCTGCACACATTATTAGACCACCATTCCAAAATCCCAATGATTGAGGTTCTACTGAAAACCCTTCCTGCCACATGCAGCATGCAATAGTTATTACATGATATACGCAGTATTTTCATTGGAATTTAAAACAGTCCAACAAGTCATATCATTTATCTTAGATCTTTCTATCCACAGATGACGTTTGCAGCTTAGACTTGTGCCAAAACCAGTTTTTTTGGATGGTTTTGAAGCAGAATGTAGATGTCTGAACTGTTTTGACAGAGTCAGCGAGAACTGTCCGGAATCTGTTGATATCTAGGATATAAATGACGGCCTTGCACAGGGTTGTTTGAGTAGGGTCTGTGGGAAGGGGCAGCATGGACGCCCAGGCATGTGAGTCCTATGACGCCCCTACTCTGGGACTTAAGTGATGGTTAATCACCAATATTTCAGAATTTATGAACAGTGTAATGCTAATGCCCATTCAGTTGGAATTTTCCTTCTTCTGCTTGTGGCCCTGCCTCAAATGTGTAATGTCACAGTACCGCTCCAGAGGTTCTCTGACATCACTCTGGCATCAATTGGATAGAAATTTGATCCAAGAGCACACCTCCTCCACCCCACCCCTCCTGCACTGAGCCCAACATGGATTTTCATAATAAAAGGTAGAGACAAAACAATGAGTGTAATCACCTTGTAACGTTTGTCAGTCTGGCCTCTCATAATTATTCTTTATTTATGTAATTGTTTTGATTTTACCAAATGCACTATAAGAAAGAGCATAAATAATTATTATTATAATTGAGTTCACTTTCTTTCAAATACATCTCCAGAAGTTAATTAGAAGTTTATACTCTGAAATTATGTAAATACATAGCAAAAATATACATTTAAATCTTTCCTCATCTTGTTTAGCGCCAAGTGGTTGCGTCTTCTTGGCTTTTCTAGACACTATATTGCATTAATGAAAGCATTCAGAGTGTTTTCTTCATGAGGAGTGTTTTCATGATTTAATATCCTGCTGCTCTTAAAGAATCTGAATTTGAGAGCGTGCTGAGGAATGGGACATTGGAACCTAGTCCCTTAGGGTTAAACATGCTCTGCAACTCTACCCTCTTTGAAACAACAGACTGCTGACCCCACTATCTTGACCCCTTCGACTGCACCCCCTCCTCTGTCGTTCCTGTCACAGCGATTAATAGCAGAACCCAGCCCATTCTTCTCTCTTGGCAGAAAAGCAACTGGATCTCATGGTTTCAATCAGGCCCGTAGAAGCAGCCCTTACTTCACCCAGTGCTGCTCAGCGGCAGTGTTCACCCAACCCTGAGGCCATAGCAGCTCCTTATCGAACAAATTTCTGTTTTGGGGGACCACAATCAGGAAACATGACATCTGCTTTCAATTGGGAACTTTATATCACACCCCCCTCCCAAACACACACGCTCACAATTGCCCACTACAGTTTCACTGCCTTGTGCATTACCTTGAATGAGCCTGTCTGGTTTGAGTGTATGCAGGTAGACTGTTAGGGGATCCTGTTGCAGAGTGAGGCAGATCAGGGCGTCAATAGCTCAGAGGCTCAACATTGATTTTGCCCAGAAAGAATTTGAGACACACTATATCTCTCAAAGATCTACCAGAGTAATTACTTGCACACACACATTCAGGGGTGGTATTGAAAAACAACCATGATAGGCCATTAAGACGCTGAACTAGAGTGCACATAGTAAATGCACTGCACTTATGTAATGCTTTTCTACCTTAACGGATAAAGCGCTTTACAATTGGCCTGTTGTTCACCCATTTACACACCAATGTTTTTTTTTACTGTTCATGTTACCATCTGATACTCAAGCCTTGACTTCCCTTTCCTTCCGTGTATCTAATGAGGACACATGCTGGTTGTTTGAGAAAGCAGCTTGTTTGGCTCTTCTATGTCAACGCTTATTGTATGTGAATACACACAGAGTAAATAGAGTCTAAAAGCACAGAGGCTGGAAAAAGTTCAAAGACAAAGCCGTTAAGAGCTGAGTGGAAAAGCAGCCTTTCTGCTATTAGGAGAGGATGAAAACCCCGATCCCGAGTGAATGGGGATCTTATGTGTGTGCGTCCAGATGTCTGCTTGCCACCACTGGCGCACTTGACTCTAGGATTTGACTTGGCTCATCAGTGCTACTTTCTTCATGAGAGGAATGAGTGCTCTGTTGTTGACATTGTTTCTGCGATCCTTTGGTGCATCTGTTACTTCAATTGGAAGTACGCAAACAATGATTTACATAATTACATGCTCTGGGGTTGGCAGTGAGGTTGGGCAGGGTTTGTTGCTTAACCAGAGAGTCTCCTAAAACCACTTCACAGTGCAGGCAGAGCTTAAGCTGTATTATGAAAATTGTTTATAATTACAGTTTTCAGATATTTAAACTGAAACTTTCTGAGGATGAGACATTCTGGTCATGTCACTGACGACAAAGTAAATTTTCACGCCCTGTGCATTGCTTCATCTCAACCCTCTGTTTCTTCTCTACAGGGGTTTCCCCCCCTTGTATTTTCTGATCATCACCTGTTTATCCTCCGCTACTACGACCCCCCTGCAGGTTGTCTGGGCAACTGTTACACTCACTAACATCTGTGAATCCGCTCTGACCTCATCACAGTGAAGTTGTACAGTTAGCCCTTCTTTCCTCTGCTCCCAGCTTTTGGGTTGACAAGACAATTCAACAAGAGGGATTCTGTCTGACTCAGGAGACAGATGCTTTATCCAGTAGTTGAAATATAGTTGAACATAAGTGGCCTTCTTTTTCTTTGCTCTGTTTCCCATCTGTGTAATATCTGCTCCATTGCTATTCATCGGTTCTGACACACACACATTTGGCACAAGTGCAGAGTTGCTTTGTGTTAGCAACTTGTGATTTCCACGGAAGATAAACATTGCAGTGCGCATCAAGATATTGATTTATTTTCTCTCAAAAGCTGAATAAGAGTTTTGCTGCCTCTGGTTCAGAATCTATAGGTTGAAATTATGTCAAGGCAGTTTCATTTTCCAAATCAGATGCAGCTGCCCCTCACTGCTGATGATCTCATTCCTGTAAGCTATATCCCATGAACAAGACAGAAGGTTTGAATTAAGCAATCCAGTGTGTGATTCATTTCCAGCCACAACAGAGAGCATTAATAGTATAGCTGTATAGCTGTGCTCATTCTTAGCTCCGTTTTTTCATCTTGTGTTTATTGATATAAGTTGGATTATCCATCTAAAAAGTTTCACAGATATGTTTTTTCTTCACATGATCCATCTCTTCATTTTCTTTCTGCCACTGCAGGTGATTTATGGGTTAAAGCTGGGGTTGTATGTAATCACACACCCATATTGATCTACATCTGCACAAACCACTGAGAAGTATTTTTACATTTGGAAAACAAACTGGGTTTGTCGCCTTATTTGGTTTTTGTTTTGAGTAGATCTTGATTTCCTCTCGACTGACTTGTACTTGAATTAAAGTGGACACAGTTCAAAATCAACTTGGACTGAATTCAGAGGGTGTACACTACATCCCTGGCTGATAGGAAACAAAATCTTTAAAAAAGCAAAAATCTAATTTTTAAGGTAAAACAGACTGCATTGTTTACATTTGCCAATTTTATCACAAACATTTGCCAATTTTATCACAAACAACCTGAACTTGAATTGGCTCCACCCTATTGATTAGTTAAGAATGTTGAGATAATGTGACGATGTTGTGGAGGTTGATTGGTTTAGTATAGACAATAGATGAGATCAGAACTGCTCTTCTGTTGGTTCTTACTGTATAAGGAGGTCAGCTATGTGAGCCACATGTTATCTTTACACATAGTTTAACACCATTAGTTCTCCTGATGCCTCACTAAATCCCTTACTATGTCAGCACAACCACATTTGAAACGCACATTAATGACCAAACTCCACACCCTCCGCTCACGCACACTTCAACTGGCCTCACATTACAACCAGCTAAATATAAATACACATTTCTCAAAGTCTTTGAAGATCATGGGAATCAGGTCAATGAAATAGCAAACATAGCTCCAGGGAAAGGTTTAAAAATGGTTTAATACTGAATAGTATATAGTTCAAATGAAATGTATTAATTTCACAAGATCAGGATAGAGATACTTTAGATTTACTCTATATAATACTTTAAGACTTCCCTGTGCCTCCATATAATTACAAAACTGTTCTCTCTAAAATGATCCCTTTGTCTGCCAAGGTATACTCCAAAGTAATGTTTTTCCGTCAGGATATTTGTAGAAAAAAAGGCCTTATCAAACCCTTTTCAAAACACATAAAGTCTCACATTATAGATTTGTTTTCAGTGTGTTAGCATTCCAGAGAGTAAAAGGGTTGTAGGGTTAAAACCTGGATTCAACTCAAAGACCATTCAAACAAACACTCCTCCACCCCAACCCCACCCCTCCTGGCCCTCCCTCTTTCTCTGTAGATGGCCATACGATCTCTCTGATGTTGACCCTCTTTGCATTAAGCATTTCTTTTCTACTTACCATTTAGTGAGGCGATGAGGAGCAAGGCAAAAGCCAACATTTTGCAGGGCCCGCTTGTTCTCTGTGCAGATGATGCTGCCATTCTTGTCCTGAGCTTGCACACGTCCGACGGGTGTGAGTGAAAAGGCAGAGAAAGAAAAGGGTAAAGCTGGTTGAGCCTGAGCACTTTAGGGTTTCCTCTTACCCAGAGCGGGACAGGGTGGATAAAGCACCACTTGTGTTCTGTCAGTTTTTATATAGCCCCCCTCCTCCCCCACTGAAGCCCAGCCCTACACCCAGTCTTCCACTGGTTACTTTAACCCTTCCTCTGTGCCCCCACCCCTCTGAAGACGCAAGGCAGACGGAGGGAAGGAGGAGAATGGGGTCTTGTTGGGATGTTGTGTATTTTTCCCTCCAAAAAGAAAAAAAAACTTAAGTGCAACATTCTTCAAATACCGATCAATGTTTGTACGTATAGATACATTAAGTATTCCATTACTTGAATCCACCTTAATTGGGCTGCATATGGCGTGTGTTGTGTTGCAGAATGATTTTAGTGATGCTGTTTACGTTATCCTTTGCTCACACTGTCTGCTTGAGCTGTGAACCCTGTCTGGACGGGAGCAGTAATCCACTACACAATGAAAGGTGATAGTTCACAATAGGCAGTGACACTCTGGTCCCTAATAGGCTTATGGAGATAGACTATGGAGCAGAATGTCATACTCTAAACAAAAGTGTGATCCACTGTTATGCTAATGCTATTAATCCATTTCAGTGGCCCGAAGCCCCCACCACTCAGCAAGACCATCAATCAACAACAGCCATCTCAGTAGTGAAGACACCACGGGATCCGCTTAAACCTTTCACACTTCCACAGAGTCCTGACAGCACCCAGCCCCCCTGCAACTTGAGGATCTTTGCTTTACTTTTGTTAGCTCTTTTGCTAGGAGTTCTCATGCTCTCTGTAAATCACACATCTGGAACCACTGGTGAAGGTATGCTAAATGACTTGTTAAAAAAAAAAGCCCCACCCTCCTGGACAACAAAAAGTAGCAACAACACTGAGTCGAGAAAAGTAAACTGGACCACAGCTACATCTAAAATGCTTGGGAAATGGTCTTGTAATTTGATACCAGTCCAAGTGCCCATAGTCCCCCGTCCCTGTATTGGCCCCATCCTTCCCCCCATCACCCCCATTTCCTCCCTGTTACTCCCCCACCCTTCCTCCTTGCCAGGCCCTTATCAAACATTCAACTCAAACAGCAGGGCGTTGAGGTGGGCAATTGGCCCCTCACTGTGACTCAAGATGAGCTTTGCAGAAAACCCCAAGAGAAAAACCAGTGGTGTGCCCATTACAGCAGCCACAGCTGGACAGCAGCAGTCATGTCACCCCAGTAAAACATTCATTAGACTGTTAGCTAGTTAAGTATTTCTGCTACTTGAGTCCTCATGAATCACACCTTATGTCAGATGGCAATACGGCACAGAATAGACCTTTCACCCTCAACAAAGGGCAGCAGGACAAACCATGGCAATTTAGTTTTCTTCTTCCTTTGTATATTTCTCCTTCTACTTTTCTTTCTTTCACCCTTGCAAGGAGCTTAGTACCTTCATGTTTTAAACCTATTTTTTGATACCTATATTAAATGTGTATGTTTTTCATTTTACATTTATTCTCACCTTTTGTGTCATTGTAACTTGAAGGTAATAATAAATATCCCCCCAAAAAACCCCAAGGTTTTTGTAGTTAACTGAAACAAAACTAAAAACTAAAATGAACACATCTTAACTAACTGAAACGATATTGTGTACTTACAAAACGAACTAATACAATATACAGGAGATGTCTTTAGTTGTTGTCTTTAACAATTTAACAACACAAAAAGACAAAGGAGACATTGGTGCGTATGTTTATTAAGACTGGGACGTCTACATGACTGTGAGCCAGTTGCCTTTTTATAATACCTGTTTCCTAAATTCCTAAATCTTTCCCCTGACAAGCAACCCCTAAACAAAAACTAAACATTTTTAAACCATAAAAACTCAACTGAAATGAGCAAATCCACTCTGAAACCAAAAATTTTAAGAAGAAAAAACACCCAACTTTCTTATCTATGTCTTCCTTTGTGACATGTGTCTCTTCTTAAGTGTCACACAGTAAAACTCTTCATGGTCACAGAGCAGGAAACCAACACAAGTGCATTCCTCCTTACAGTCGTTACAGAAAGCCAATCTGGAAAACATTTCTACCACTGGCATCCTGTGATTTAAAGCCTATAGGCCTGGCTTCATATGGCTTTATTTGTTTATAGTATTGACTGTTCTGCACATCTGTTGCAGCTTATGGAGTTTGAAAACATTGCCTCCCTTCCCCTTTTAGCTGCTGCACTGTTTCTTCAGTAACAGTACATTGCAATCACAATATATTGGCTGGTGTCGCAGATGATTTCTGACAGCAGTGTGTATTTTGCTTTAGCTTGCAAGTGTGTATAAACCAGATTTGAGGTTTGTGCTTTTTAGTTCCCTGCATTGTGTGTATACACCTCGGAGCGTGTGTGTTAAATGCTTTCTGAAAAGTGTCTCAAGAGAATATAGGCAATGGAGTTCAATATCAAAAGAGAAGCGTTGCGCTTTTGTGCCTGTACTTTCTCACGAGGAGTCCCCTTTAGATTTACCATATACTTTAAAGACCACAAAAATCCTGATCTGTTGCCAAACATTTTGTGAACATGCAATTTTTTTTTTTTTTACTTGCATGCAAGCTCTGTCTTTTTTTCTTTCCTGCAGTCAAAATATATGCATTCACACATGCACACCTGTTTCTAATCTCAAACAGAAAGCAACAAAACAGTGTCAATGAGCATTACTAATTACTTTCTAGGGTAAAACTTGCAAAACGGTGGTGATTTAAGACCGTTTTTAGTCAAAGGGTCACTGGCGTCTGGTCCAAGAAGTCTTATTTTGTGGTAATGAAAGTTTAAGCTGCTAATTGGAGACCCCTAGGATCACTGAGGCTTGGCTGATGAATCAGTAGGCTACTTTAAATGGCAGAGCTCCCTCACTAACTACAGAATTTGTTAGCAAAATATGTCAGCGATTATATTATCAGAACATTTTTACTGATAAACGTTAAGTTCAGCCTCTTTTGAAAGGCAGTGACTTGTTGTGTTGTTTTGCAGCACCAGCAGCTATTTATTCTGTCTGAGAGCATGAGTTCACCAGCAATGGATTATTTGTAAGAGCCCCAGGCAGAACTCTGAACAGGAAGTTGTAAAACAGCGACTCTCCTAATGTGACGATCTTTTGTGGGAAGAACATTTCTTTGCCACCCGTTCATAATTAACAATTCATGGTTCTGTTTTGACTTAAGCCACAGGAAAAGACAAAAAGCAATTGTCATGCTCTGCTAAATTAATGGTGAGGACATTTTTAAAGTCCTCATTGAAAGGGTGTTCTTAATTTAATTTTTGGTTAATTTATTTGCACTAACACATGCGGACACACACAATCTCAGAAACACATGCACGTTGTAATACACATTTTATGGAGCTTTGAAAATGGGAACCATAAATCCCACAAAGCTCACCGATTGGCTGTGTAGGAGGGAGCCTGTCTTGAAGTGATTTCATGAGTGCAGGAGAGGGAAGTTGAGAAGGAGGGAAAGTGAGGGAAGGTTTGGAAGGAGTAGGAGGAGGAGGAGGAGTAGTGGGAGGGGATTACATTTCAAACTGCAGCAAATGTTGACCGTTACCTTTCTGGGCTGAGCTGCGAGGTCTCGCCTTCAAGTGAGCGGGAAGATGAAAAAAGAGAAAGAAAGGAAGTTTTGTGTTAATGAGGTAACTTCTTCCCAAAACAAGATGTGCGTCAAGAAGACACCCCTGTGTGGGTTCTCCTCTCAGTCTCAGGGTACAGTCTGGTTTCTCAGTATGTCTGTGTCATGACCTACAGGACCACCGCACAGCTCTGCAGATGTTCAGAACACACACACACAGATACACACTAACCCTCAGGCAGCACTGCTGAAACAGACACTTTTTGTTACAGACACATTCTTACCCTTTGCCCTCTTCCTGCATCACATTTTCACAGCGTCTCACATGATCCTTCTCTCTCATCCCAGTTTGTACTCCAAATAGATGTAACCATTGAATGAATGAAGGAAGCTAATTTTATCTCTGTTTCAAGTCATGCTTGTGATAACAACTTTCTCCAGAAGATGGCACCAATAGACTGGTCTGCTGTCCAGAATCAGCTCAACCTACTGTCCATTTGCTTCATCAGTACATCATTAAAGTCTTAATGTATATTTTTGTGGAACTAAAACCATTTCCACCTGCGTATATTTAATGAATCCAGCTGTTGGTGTTAGGTAGTGAGAAATGAAGGCAGTTATGACCAGAGTCAGCAAGTGACCGTGTTATTGCTAGTGGACAAAAGAGAAATTACTACAGCAAATGGGGGAAATAAAATGCCGCCATGGATTAGCTCATCCAATAAATCCTGAAACAAGTTGTTACTGATAGAGGCTGAGCTGCGGTCATTTGGGATTTTTTCTATACAGTCATCAGGGATTTTTTCCCCTGGTTTGGACAGTTGTCTTTTGTCCTTGGCAAGAACAAACATAACAGTGCCTGTTTGATTGTGTGCAGTCTGATAATGTAGTATGCGTTTAATTAAAGCAGCAGGAGACTGATGCTCGCAGACCTCTAGGCTGTGTTCCTGTGGTGCTTGAGGGAATTTGATGCTTGATTGTAACGTAGAGGGAATTTACATTATGGAAGGGAATAAACAAAGGTGTGACATATTTGTATCTATATCCACTAACAGTGGCTGCTGGTTTTCATCCCAAATAAAAGGAGAAAGGAAAGCATCTGTGTACTGTATATAAAAAGATGTATGTGTTTGTATGTGCAGTTTTCAGTTGCAATCCTGCACAGCAAAGCAGCCTCAAAAATTACCATTGGCTTTAGGCAACACCTCCCTGACAGAGTTTCAGCAAAAATAAATCACTGTATAAGTCAAGTAGTATTTAATGTAGGGACATTTTACTGCATTAGGGTCTGCAACTAATGATTATTTTCATTATCCATGAATTGGAGGATTCTTTTTTCAGCTAATTGAGTAATTAAGCGACAGCCCAAGGTACCCAAGTTGCATTTAGATTGCTTGTTTTATTCAATCAGCACAGTCCAAAACCCACAGACATTACAGTTTAACAACATATATGACAAAGGGAGGCATTTTCTCACATTTGAGAGAGTGAATTCAGGTTTCTTTGCTTAATAAATATTTGAATCTTCTCTCAACAACCTGAATTCTTCAGCAAAAGTGTATTGTATTGTATTGTATTGTGTTTTTTAATCTTTATTGAATGCATTTTATTGATTTGATAACCTAGTGCTACATCCCATTTAAGCATAGCCTTGTCCATCGACTATTAACATAAACTATGCTGGATTGTGCAATGTGCATAGTGCAAGGCCTTTTCCATTCAGCATTCATTCCACAGTTAGAGCCACCATTTGAATTATTCTTCAAGATCTGCAGTGTGTGCGTAAGGTCCGTTTTCCCATGAATCACATATTCTGTGCAGCAGGAGAAGCTGAGGATCTGTTATACCTTGCAGTGTATAACCAGTAATTTCACAGAAATTAAGCATTGCACTGTTGTTTTACTCTACGTCACAAATATAATGTAGTTGCATCAATCATGGGTCAAAACAGAATGAGATATTATGACAACTGTCTGGGATTGATTGAAGAATAATGGATTTCTAATGGCTGTAGTAGCTCCATAAACCTGTCTGGTATCATCAAACCATCTATCAAGAAGCTATCCTGCAGCTTGCTCAGCTGTCAGTAGAGGAGGTTTAAGTCCTAATGATCCTCCTCCTCCTGCGTGCGTGTGTGTGTGTGTGTGTTGTAAGTGAGGGGGAATTGCTGGCTGCTGAGTGTAGGCACTCTGACAAGCAAAGAGAGAAGAGAGGAAAGACAAGGGGTTAGAGCCTGGCAGGTGTACAGGGGGACTCTTCAATACGCTGATGACACCCCCACCTGCATCTGACAGGTAAGGTTTGGGAGGCCTGGATGTTCATACATCCCTCCTTCTCCTCCCCCTTCTGCTCTGCTTGCCCAGAGCCCCGAGGGTTAAACATGAATAATGAATTCTGGCTCCTTATGGCAAGTGCTCAGGAGCCCCTATATGCTGATCACATGCCATACCAAATACTGTCACAATATGACGGCACTGAAAACGATTCTTCACTCCTGAGAGGCCGTTCATTGCATGTTTAAAAAATAAAAATAAAAAAATCAAATTCAAAGGAATTTAGTAATTTACTCCAGGATATTTCTTTGTTGTTTTACAAGCTCAGCTTCTCTTTCTCTTTGGTGTTAAATGTGCTGCTCTTGTCTGACAAGGTGTGTTTAAATGGTACTCTGTGCTGCATTTGCTTCCTCAGATTTCTTTAGTATTATTGCAATAAACAGTTGATGTCGTAGCCAAATGTATTGGCTGCCTTTGACAAAATTAAAAACTATACATACTACTGACATATGATAAAAGGGACATTTACCTCATTGTACCACTATTTTCTTTTTCCTTTTAAGGAAGATAATAACAAGCTAGAAGTGAATGTTCCATCTGCATCTTCTGCTGCCTTCAGAATAAAAAAAAGCTTTAGCTGTTTGTTCTGGAAATACAACGCCCTCTTCCTGTGAACCAAAATCCAACAGACAGACCCAAACCCAACTTGGTAGCACATTGCTAACTGTCTGCCAAATGTAAATTGTGCGTAATTGTCTCAAAATTCATTTTATTCTTTACAGTAATTATACTGATTGATGTTAGAATAATACACGTAGTACCTTTTCAACAGACATATTGATGCTTATTTCTCTCCAAAACAAAAAGAATCACTTTTGAGTGAATGTTGTGGAATCAATTTTTTTTTTTTGTCTGTTTGATAATGAATTTTCTTATTGATACAAAGCTGGGGACACAGATTGTTTCCCCTTTGGATATTTTCCATATGTGAAGAAGTGAGTGGAGGGCTAACGTCATTTGTGTCTGTCGCCAACAATTATGTTAATTTAAGTACAAAGGCTGAGCGATGGATGTACCCCTGGGATCACTGACATCATCATCTTACATTTAAAACCCTCCCACGAAAGCCCAATAATAGTTTAACTATCAAATTAGCATGCTAGTGATCCACTGACATAATAAGAATAGATTATTCAGTTGTGTGTGTGGCTGAGTTCAGATTGACTTGAAAATTATATAATGGTTCTTGGCCAGTCAGCTTTGATTTATAATACAGGTGTTATAAATCAAATATGTACAGTCTAAAATAGAAATGTACTTTCCATTAAGCTTTTAAAGATACAAGATTTGTATTGACCAGGGTTTCAGTTTAGGATTCAACTATTATGAATATGGAGAAATTTGTTCAGCATGATTTTTCAGAATTTAACATAACCACGAAAGAAACCAGGCAAAAATCATTTTCATCAGCTGCGCATTTAATGTATAACAACAGTACAAAGTGAATCTTTTGCTTGCAAAATAGGAGTGTTTTTTATGTACAGTATTTATACAATAATATAGTTTAAAAAACATTACAGTTTAAATGTCTGACAGTTTATTGCACAACACATTTATAAATTATCATTATCAAACCACACATAGAACATATGAGTTCTCTGTCATATTTCAACACTTAGCAGGAAATGTATTTATTATTTATCATATTTTATCTTGTTCTCCTAGATTAGCGTGATTCAAGGTCCTGTGGGGAGTATATTAACCCCACTAATACTGAAATGGTAAAAAAAAAAAAGAGCAGCGCTCCAGAATAACACTGATAGACAGTCGTGGTGACTATTATATGGAGCGATGAAACAGCTGCAAGCATAGAGAGAAATTCATCTTTCACCATTGCAATGGGTGAAATACAAACAATCAAAACAAAACCCCTGAATTAATGCGATGCCTCAGGCTGAATTTGTCCTCATGATAATCATTTTTAAGTTAAGATATGGCACTCTATAAATACAGCAGCAAGGAGACAACAAGCAGTTAGGTAAAATGTACATTTGAACACAAAATTAAAACTTGTGAATTATACGCTAAAGCATGGAGAAAAGGATGTAAAGCAAAGAAAGCACTGTGAAGCAACAAACTGATGTTTCATTAATTAATTTTACAAGGACCAATTGCTGATCCAAGCAAATATCATTAATCATATATCCACTCTGTGTACAAAATATTAGGAACACTTACTTTAGACAGAACTGCAGACTCTGTTGCAGCACCTCACGGCTCAAATGTCTCCATGGTTAGAATTCCTGCATCTAAATTCCAGGTTATGTTCAAAGTGGATTTATTTGGAAAATCAATAAGGCATCACAGCCTTCATCTAACTTAATCTGACCAGATTACTTCCCAGGAGCAGCAGGTGTTCTTAATATCTGGTACACTTGGTGCAATTCAAGTATCACGCTAAATGTAAACAATGACTGATGAGACAGGGAGGGTGGTGGTGGTGGTGGTGGGGTGTTGTTGGCCAGGGTTAGGCTAATCTGATCCACGATCAGACTTAGAGCATCATTAATCATGCTTTCTGCTACAGTTCAATTTGGTCTCCACTTATCTTTGAATGGTTGAATTGGTGGTCTATAGATCATCACTGTACAAAATTTCCTATCTCAAATGGGATCTTTTTCCGCATAATGGCATGTATTATTAATAGCTTCAACAGGAGCATTTAACATGAATGAAACATGAGACAGTATATTTGGCACAAAAGTCAGGGTTTGGGTCTGGAAATATCTCTACATATATTTCACATTTGAAGGTAATACCTTCTCAGTGTTATATTATTAAAGAGCTGGACCCTCACCTTGTCAATGACAAATTTTGTGTTGAGTTATAAGTCAGAAAATCTTCATTGAACAAAAAATAAACTCTGATAGGGAGCTTCAAGTGGGGAAATGAAAAGTAATTATGCAATAGTCTTTAGTGTTTTCTTTTTTAAGCCTTTAAAAGGCAATAGGAAAAGGCTTAACAACACAAAGTTACACATCTTTGCTATGAATGGCTCCGAATGGCGATGTCACTCCAAGCCTGTGATATGTAGTGCGAGTAAGTGTCCGTCATCTTTGACATATTAAAAGTACTTCGAGTCTTGTCTTACCACATGTGCCGTCCCATTAAATTGGCTCCTGTCTTTGTTGAGCTCCTCCAGTGACTTTTCAAGTTGAGTCATTCTTTATTAAGTGCTGTTCTCCTCAGAGCTCCAGCCATGCCACACACACACATTTTGTATAAGTACCCACTACAAAGACAAACCATTACACAACGGATAAGAATTGGCTGCAAATTCAGCAACTGTGATGGCCCAAATCCCCTTTCTTTCTCTCTCTCTCTCTCACTCTCTGTTTCTCCCTTTCTCTCTGTCTCTTTCTCTATAGGACCCTTTTAAAAGTTGGATGTTTGCCTGTTGGAGTTTCTTCTGAAAAAACAATGACATTGGATTCAAAAGTCGTGCTTTGGGACGATCTGCTGTTTGATGTGTGCAGTGGTTTGTGTATGTACACTTGTATGTGTGTGTGTATACTGTATATAGATGAATGGGCATGTGTGTATGTACTGTCAGTTTGTTTATACAGTAGGTCCATTAAATCTGCAATGTCTGTGTGTGTGTGCCACGTGTGTTGCAGATGGGTTTATCCTCTGTAACGAAATATTGTGTTGTGTGTATGTATAGTGTGTGCATACTGAATGTGATGTGTATGTATGTAGGTGAGTATGTTTGCATGTGTATGTGTGTGTGTGTGTGTGTTGTCTCAGCTCTCTGTAGACATGGCTAAGATGATCTGCTCCACTTTATACGCCAACTTCTGCTTCTGGGCCTGTTCATCCTGCTCCAGTGCCTCAATGATCTAAAACACACACACAGAAACACACACATGGGCAAATATGCTCATGCACTGAGCTGATCTACAACACTGTCAGCTTCCACATGAATAAATATATTGTACATTTTACTGCATTTGATTAAAGTTTCTGATTTAAATGAATCACCACTGGTTTAATTAATTAGAATTCAATGCATATCAATACATTAGCAACATTAGCAACATTAGCAAAAAAATTTATTTAGCTCCATTAACACTAACATTTGCCAGTTGAACCCTGTTAAATGCACGTATTTGCTGTTTTTCTCTGTATTACATCATTGTAAATATATCTTAATATTTTGAGTATTCATACACGCAATTTGAAGACTCCAGCTTTGGTTTTGAGAAATTTTGATGGGCATTTTTTCTTTTTTTCTGACATGTCATATACTAAAACTATTAACTGATTAATTGAAAAATCAATCAACATATTAATCCCAGTGAACATAATCATTCAGCCCAATCCCTAATCATTTAACCATGACATCACTGCACAGGTGCAACAGAGCAACACCTCTGACTACTAACAAGCAACCAGAGAGGGTGGCAAAACACTGCTTAGTTACTCTCTAAACCTGCATTAATTGGTATTTTTGGCCACTTGGGAGCATTGACACGTACAGTAATAACCTTATAAAGTTGTTATGGTGGACAGATGGCAAACAGTTGCCTGTCTACACACCCAACAGAAACAAAGCAACATCAGCATTCATTAAGAGTTGGGTTTGTGTTCGCATGATTAATTTAACTCCAATATTCACGCAACTTTTAGCTCGGCCTCCACCAGCTCCTGAGGGAATGATCTGGTTCTACAGTGGCTAAATGCTCCACTGTGTTCAACAGCTAGTCGCTAACATTGTCTGCCTGCTGTTTGGTGCTGGACAGCTAGCGTACAGAGGGTTTATCAGAGCGTAACAGAACTACCAGGCGCAGCTGTTTTTAATGAAATGGTCATGAAGCTTTAGAGGGAAACTGCAGAGTCTCGTCATAATACTCAATAATACTAACGTGAAAGACAGTCATTTTATACTTTTTTAATATAAAAATATGGATTACAGCCACTTTAATATGAAAAGCCAACTGCGGTCGGCTGACCACACCAGCAGGACCTCTACAGCACATATCTATGTTACAGTGTGTTGACTGGGCCTCACCTCTTGGCTGTACTTGCTGACGTAAGCGTAGATCTCATGGAGGGCACTAAGCATGTTGAACTCACTGGAGTGAAGGCGTGCCTGTTCAGCCAGATAGGCATTCATATCCTGATCACTGATGGCAGGCAGGCGGTTGATGTCAGCGTAGTACCTGAGAGGAGACATACACACACACTGTTAGAGGCAAGGGCACAGCCATGCATACCAGTGCTTTTTTCCTCTCTTGGATTCAGTCTTTTGCTGTTAAAAGTCAAAGAATATCAAATGTTAAAGGGTGTCAGTAAATCGGAGGTGTTTTGGCAGGAAAATAAGGAAATGTGTCACTCACAGGGTCAGTGACTTCAAACCACACCAGCACACTGTTTCTTATAAACAAACAGCCTCACATGATTATACTTATGACTACATATTAATTCTGTCACTCTCAACCCTATTTGGGCTGCATGATTAATTGCATCATGATTTGCAGTCATAACTATGCAATCCCATTTATAGATGAGGATTCTGCCTAATTGCATTAAAGGGAGATCTGCTGCACCAAACCAAGTGCTCGGAATTTCACCCTGAAGTTGCATCACCAAAGGACAAGACTTCATCACTCCAGAGATACAAAAAAGTAACATGTTAAAGGGTCCGACCTGTGGCCCTTTGCAGCGTGTCATCCCCCCTCTCTGACCCCCTTTCCTGTCTGTCTTCAGCTGTCACTATCCAGTAAAGGCAATAAAAGCCCCCAAAAATACTGCTGTTCCAAGAAAGTACATAAATAGCAACCAGTGTCATGACGTAGTTACACCACAAATAGTTTCTACCACAAAATACAATATGATGAAGCTGAAGACCTCTCATAACAAGGTGATTACAGTGAGAAAATCATAATTTTCCTTTTATCCAGAATCATGTAGCTCTAAAACCTATCAATATCCAATTACAAAACTCACTTCACTCCTAAAATGGAGCTCTGAGGCAATGCTAACAATAACTTTTGAAACAACAAACCTAATCCTACATGAACCTAATCTTATTTATAACCAAACAAATGTGATTCTAACTTTTCATCTTTTTATCCTTATGAAGGGCACAAATACTCACCTTTCTACCCAGCTTTTATAATGCGGTATGTCCTTGGCATAGAGTAGTTTGGTGGAGGGTGAGTCTTTGCCTAGACGATGTTCAGATGTTGAGCAAGAGTCCATGAAGGTTTGGGCCACCACAGACAGACAGGCGTCTGTGATGCTGCTTTTATGGATGTCAAACACAAACTGGGGATTCTTAATCACGTTTACCCAGAAGCGCAGGGGCAGGCTACAGAAAGAGCAGAGAGAAAGATTTTACACATTTTCACACTTGCGTTCAAAGTAATATGATTAATTTCATGTGAATAAGATGTGTTTGGCTTTCTTCTGATCAATCCCTTATTGACTTTTCAAATTGACTTAAATTATAAGATTAAGCTTTAGATGGAGTTTGGAAGACTTACATGTGAAAGATGTTAAAAGAGTTACAGATTGTGTAGTGTAGTTCTTAAGTTCTTCAAAGAGCAGCATAAAACAGCTCAAAATGTACAAAACACAAAAGAGTAAGATACAATTAATTAATAAATTAAGGGTTTCTTAATTCAGAAATGTTCACTTTGGCCCTTTGTGGAGTAAAAAATGAAAAAGAAAATTCCTATAGGAAGCATTGCAAGCAAGCTTAGTTAGCAAGCTTTACAGTCACAGTAAAGGTGACGAGTCATGTTTCTGCTCATTCTCACCAGTTGCTCTTCCAGGTGTGACGAACGTCCATGTCATGAATACCGTGCCTGTCGGCCTGCTCGTCCAGGAAGTCGAACATGTATTTGATTGCTAGAGGCAGGGCAGTGCCCCGACACACAGTGCTGAACAGGGTCTCAAACAGGTCATCCACAAACTTCTGCAGTGTGCCCTATAGAAAACAGTGCACAGGGTTAAGACTGGTTGGGCTTCTACTTATAGTGTCTACTCTAAATCTGAAGAGGTGGATACCAATTTTAGAGAGGAAAAATTCAGATTACTGATATGGTGGATGATGTAGTTAATTCTTTCACCGATATAACTATGAAAAGGTCAAATATTTAAGTTAAATATTCTTTAATCTGTTAAATTATTTAACATATATACTGTTAATCAATTCTGTTTGACATTGCCAAGAGCTGCTTCTTCTCTCTCTCTCTTCTTCACACTGTGCTGCTTGCCACAGTGTTATAAATCACAGCACACTCTGCTGGATAAACTTTGCAGTGACGTCAGTATATTACCACAAGCATTTTTTCCTGCATTACCGACCAAACCATATATTGGCCAGGCTCTAATTAGGGATTGTTTATATTAAATAAGTCAATTAAACCTTAAATAAAGTCCAACATATTGTTACTATAAAATATCAAATATATTGCACCTTTGTTGCTAGTAGCCTCGTCAGGTAGATCTCAGACACCATCTTACTGCCGCGCTCGCCCTCTTTCTGGTCCCCATGGTCGTGGTTCTTGACTAAGTGCCAAACTTTGACCCCACTCTCCAGGTCAGGGGTCAGCATGGGCACACGGGAGTGGGGGCTGTCTGGGCTGGTGGGCGTAGAGCGGAAGGGTACATCCACACCTAGATGGTCAAATGTCAGATAAAATGAGAATATATATTCCGAAAAGGCTTCAGGTGTACATTGTAAAGAGAATATATCTTGTCTTGCTCAGACGGAAGGAAAGTCATGTTTGTTTCTCAGATATAAATTTAAGGCAGAAAGCCCTCTTTGTAAAGTGCAAGCGAGCAGGGTTGGATGCATGCTGTTAGACTCAACAATTATTTGCTGTCATTATTTCATTGGTTGTCATAGTAATGATACATATGTGCACTCATTCACTAAAAGCATGTTTTCTATCCGGGCTCTGATCCTTCCTGTCTGTCACTTTGTGTTTTTATGTGCCTGTATTCTCCTTGTCTCCTTGCTCTTTTGAGAGCAGTTTCTGCTCTTCTTCTCATCCTGTTTAATACACATGTCGGGTTTTTAAAGAAAAGTCACTTAAAGCCTAATATGAAATATCAGTGTGAGCTGCTGTTTTAGGGATGTGATGTGAATCAGATTTTAGATCAGCCAGAAAGGTATCTAAAGTGATAAGACTGGATTTTATGTCTCCTTACTACATACACCAAATAGTATAAAGTAGACTGAAGATAAGTCTACATATAATTGTTTTAAAGGTGACAGGATTTGTCTTATTGTTGTGCTGTTGAAAAATCATAATGCGTCTCTTTGTTTATTGTGTTGTATAACAGGCTTTACAACAGACTGATGAGTGACAGCAACAGATGGTGTAACATTGCTAGTAGTAGGATGAATATTAAGTACTTGTATTTCTTAAACAGTACTGACCGTATCTGCTGATGCTGCGCGGGAAGCTGGCTGAGGAAGGAATGTTGAAAGAGGACATCTGTTTGGGCACCAAGGCCACCACACAGCGCTCAGACACCTGGAAGACAAAGGTAAAGCCTGTCTATTATTTTTTTATGAATTTGTGGCTTACAGCTGTTAGTCAAAAGTAATCATGGCTGGAATTTAACAAATAGTTTAAGACTCTAAAGCGTAAACCTGGGGATTTGTATAATTAAAAGAGGTTGAATGTCTTCTATGGTAACAAGAAAGACCAACAATAAACGTATAAAGGACCGGCCTTCATGTCAAGCATTCTTTACATTCATTGAGCTGGATAGAAATACAGACAGCATCGATCACAACAGCTTCAACTACCAAATAGAACCAAACCTATTTATACTGAAAATATCTAGTAGATCAATGAAATTCCTAAAACCTTTATTAAACCTTTTAAGGAGGTCTTGGCCACAATAAAACTCAGTATTGCCTCACTGTGGAAAAGAGGCTGATGACATATTAGTCTAACGTTTTGAGGCACTGAGGGTTGAAAGGAGAGACGTGAAGTAAAGATCCTGCATGAGGTGAAAGGGACGGTGTTGTAAAAACGACGACAACCAGACAAATCTGAAAACACATTTTTTCATTCAGTGGGACTTACACATCCAGAGGATATCATAAATTATCCCTAGTGTCCATCACAAATTAAATTCCATGAATCCACATAGGAATTAAAAAAGAATCCAGTGATAGTTGTTTGTTAATTAGTGTGTATTTATGGGTATTTCCAAAGTACTAATAGCTAATTTGGCCTAACTTTTAACGCTGCCAATTCGCCAAAATGTTAAAAACATATCAATAATCCAAAAAATCATGGCTGAAGTTTCCACAACAAAGAGACTCAATAGCAACATGTTGTACCACATACCATTTTCAATATTTTAAAAATCTCTCTCCGTGTTACAAAGTGATTTGCTATACCTCCAGTTTGTTTCACTATGGACGAGAATAGGTGGGGTTGTGTCAGGTAAGGCGTGTCCTTGAAATAAGGGTGTACGTTTGTTAGTGGCCGTTTTCGCTGCAGTTCAAGCAACTATTTTGCATTTAGAAATCCCCAGATGATTTGGTAGGTGCTGAAATTTCCGAACGTCTGGTATGGCGATATTAGAAAACTCCTGGTCTAATGTGTGAAATATTTTTGCATTTCCTTTGTCTTTATTTCTCTTTGTTTAAACAAGTATGCTGCACTAAAATATTAACTGTATGTGAGTGGTACAGTTGGCCTGAAGCTTATAGTCAAGACAAACATTTGACTGACAAAGGAGGAGAATGACTCATCCGAGGTTGGTGACCTGTGTAGTCGTATTTATGAGCTGAAAAAAAGATGTTGTAAAAGACAGAGGCACACAAGTGCATGTTCGGGTTGACTAAGCGTGCTTGTGACCGGGAGGTTGAAAAAATGTTGGCAGGGGTGAGATGGGTGATATGAATATGAATGAGTAATCCTCTGTCCTTCATCAACAATATCTGCTGTGACGCCCTTGAGCAACCGGATAATTGCAGATTTTAAAAAAGGTTAAAAAAAATTCAAGGTTTGCAGGAGTCAGAGGGAAATAGCTTTGTAAGCTTAGTATTAATTAGAGGTGAAATGCTTCTTCAATTGACAGAAGATTAATCTGCAACAATTTTCTTTTTTTATTTAATTTGTTAAGCATAACGTTTCAAACTAAGAAACTTTAAACTTTTTCCTGCTTTACTCTGTTTTAAGCAGTTGTTAATTTAATATCTTTATATTTTGAACTGTTGGTTCAAAGCAATTTGAGTATGTCACCCTTGGCTCCGGGAAATTATGATGGGCATCTTAAACTATTTTCAGACATAGAAATAATAATAATAATAATAATAATAATAATAATAATAATAATACCAATAATAATAATAATAATAATAACTTAATTTGGATAGGACTTTTCTTACAAGAAATGCAGCTCAAAGTGCATTACAACAAAGAAATTACATGACGGAATATCATTATTAATAGAAAGTATTATTAATGAAAAATAAAACCCACTTGATAATAATAGTAAACATAAGATAAAAATGAAAACATAATGCATAACATAAGATGGAAAATAAAACCTGCTGAATAATACAATAGACAAAACTATCTATCTATTAATCAAGAAGATAATTACTATTAATTGATAACGAATGTAATTGTTAGTTGTAGCATTAGTATCAATATTATTAACAGACCTGGTAGTGCATGAGTGTGTTGAGTCTCTTCCAGTCGCTCTCTATTTTGGTGGTGATGTCCTCATCCTGCAAGACCACACGAGCTGTTCGACCCTGCCGCCACTCTGTAGGAAAATACAATCAATAGTGAATGTGTGACATATGGCATTCTGGGAAATGTTTGTATCCCAAGTGCCTGACAGTTACATATTGTCTAATGTCCATCGTTTGTCTTGCACTGTCCCTTTGTGCTGAAGGTGAGGTCATGTTATCCCTGTGTACTGTTGTAGTTTGTTCTTTGAAACTTTGTAAGTCGTCAAGTGTAGCAGCCAAAATGTCACCAGGACTCCCTATACCTTGCTTCTTGACAATTCAAGTGATTCTAGAAACAAAACACAAATGACACAGTGTCTTCACGGGGATTTAAGCTGCCCAAAGCAACAAAGAGAAACTGATCCTCTCCAAATCCCTAACCTGTTAAAGCCCTTTAAGGTGTAAAACTACAAACCCAAAGCAATATCAACCACTACCTACAAGGTATCTTATTTACTCCCTTTGAAGGTGCGTGTCAGCTGGATTTGTGCCGAGTCGTTCCGCATTGGATGACATGTTGTGGGTGTAAGTGTAGGTGAGCTGTCAGTAAGGTTTAATGTCAATGTTGGTGAGTGTTGCTCTGGTTAGTGCTGTAAACAGGTGTGGGGAGGGGTTGTCCTCCAGAAACCGATGTTAAACCCTTTGTAGATGTCATATGTCTTCAGTGAAATATCTGTGATAACTCCCCTGACATGCCTGCTCTCATCTGTATTCTTACCTCCTGTCATTATTCCAACATATTGTGTGCCATGTTTTACCTCAGAAGGTATAAGACAATAAGTATTGTGAAATTAGTCTCTGACAGTATGATTGCACCCAGCGCAGCCTCACCGAGATCCATGTCTGCAGCTCGTGGTCGCTGTGAGTAGGGCATGTTCTTGTACACTGCATCCAGGATCTTCTCCTTTACCTGGGTAATGGTGTCACAGTTGAGCACCTTGACAGGGATTTCTGGGCTGTTCTCATTGTCTGGGTTCACACAGCTCAGCGTCTGGGGATACGGGATGGATAGAGAGCGGGGGGTTGGGTGTAAGAGAAAGAGGCAAAAAAGAGAGAGAGAAAGGTGTTGCTTGCTAGGAAAGTCCTTTCATTACCTACTCCTCACCAAACTGTCCTGGTGGAGAGGATCTTGGCCAGAAATGTAATTTCACACCTCTAGGATGTGGCTGTGCAGCTCTAGCGGGGGCATTAAACAAGTAATGAGACACAGCCTCTCAGACTCTCCGACATGGATATCAGAGAGGTGTCATCCTGTCGCTGGCTGGCTGTACGCCGGAGCTAAAGCCTGAGGGGGAACTTATTCTGACGGGCTGGTGGAGGAACCCAGCCGGCTTAATTTTAATGGAAAGGTAAAAGAAAGAGGCATGTTGTCTTACACATGACTCTTTACTGATTAGCATAAATTGATCAGAATTTTGTAGACTAAGTATTCTTGATTATATTTATTCTCTTTATTATATTTTTCCACTAATTTGGGTAGCCAGACTTATCTGTCAAAGTTCATCAGGCCTTGTTAAAAAAGAGCCAAGAAAAGCTTTTGTTGAACTTAGAATCAATATAATAGTATGGATGGTCCAGGGGAAAAGTCCAACTACCAGCAGAAGCAACTATTTTGGGTAGTCCACATACTGAAATAGAACTCCAATGCTTGAACAAGACACTGACCCCCAAATGGCTATTAATGTGTCTGTGCATGGGAAAGTCACTTTGGACAAAAGCTTCTGACCAAGGCATGTATTGTAATGTATTGTGACGGGAAGCCAGTAAGGGATCAAATCCTTCCTTCTCTGAACTAGAGATTGCTTGATATTGGTTGGGATGTTTGTGCGTACGGGATCTCGAGGCGATTGCATGAACCTCCTTGCATATTATACCCCCCCAGTTAAGCTTGGAGAAGAAAGGGAACAGTCTACTCCGTCCACAGTTGGAGTTAACAGTGCATGCAGTGAACGGGGACTTAACATACTGATGTTTACGCAAATAAGAACAATGAAACTGGGATCGGGGTTAAACTCACAGCAAATTGAATAGCTGTCAGTCTATGGTGTTATTTTTTCTATTTGCTTTGAAGAAACTGTCTAGATCTCCTTAAGCATGATGAGATGGAAATCTGGCTATGCAAGATTATTTATCTGGGGCCTTCATGTTTTTTGAAACTATCCAAATATTCAAAGCATTCATAAAATTACAACCACAGCTTCGGCACACGCCAAGGCAAAATGTTGGACTTATTTTCTTTCTTTTTTTTATTAATGTCTTTATGACTCACCAGCGTCTTGTATTCAATCTGCTGTCTGATGAGTTTGTCCTCACTGAGGGAATAGCGTGCCTCTCCAGTGATGGAGTCTATGGGTCCCTTTTCCATTTGCTGTTTGATGGCACAGAAGAGCATGAAGAGAGGCTCGCCAGCACACTCCTTTGTTTTGGAAGGAAACCCAGGGATTAGAGTGAAAGGTGGGAGAAAGGAAAATAAGACATAGGAAAGAAATGAAGGTAAGACAAGAGATCTGTATTCATCAGCACAGACGATGAGACTAGAGCATGACACATCAACCATAATAAAAAAGAGCTTTCCCTCCATTTGAATTGCAAAGCTGGAGATGTTTGACCCCACAGGTAACCAATATCCACAATGTCCATAAAACTCATCAATATCAGTCAGTTAAAACAACAGCTACAACTAAAACATGCACAGTGGTCTATTTCAAAATCAATGCTGATAATTTTAAGAAGCATTGTCATAGTATTTCACTATGACACCTGTAGCAAACAGTTTGTCCCTGTTGTGAGAAGGATTTCTTTTTACCTTGAGAAATTTGTGCAGCAAGAAGGCAAACCAATTTGTCAGCATCTTTTCCGCCACAGACTCTGTTCTGCAAGACAAGAAGAAAGCACACTCATTTGTTAGCAAGAGACGTCCCACAGAGAGGTGGAGTGCTCTGATTATTCTTTTATAATTTAAGACGTAGAAGAGCCTAACATTGTTGGAACTAAAAAACATGACATGGAGAGTTTACCGAGGAATAACATTCTTACTCACACGCTCAGTCTCAGAGGACACGTACTCTGATATACTGTAAGTTAAGTGCTGCTAGTGCAGAACATATTTGGGTCATGACATAATTGTGCAGACATAACTTCGATGTCCACTTCAAGTCCTTTCACTCTTCCTTGCTGTGTCTGCACTTCGCTACTTATCATGAGTACAGATGGGAAAGATTTTATGATTTACAATAAAGCCTTTACCTAACAGTACAGAGTGGCAGTACCCTTTGAAATGGCATATAAGCCCTTTCTAATCTGAATCGGATCCAAAGCCTGTGGCTTTCTAGCCACCATTCACTCTCCCTCCCTAACCTGCTGTCTCTCTGTCACTCCTTTTCGGTCCTTACCTGCATTTCAACCCTAACCTGTACTGACTCTTCTGTTGACGGCATCCCATTAAATTTTAGAGTTTTTCCGCAAGAGCTGCATGTTTGGGCTAACAAGTTCTTGTTGTACTGGCTCCCATGTGAACCCATCCTTATATTTAATGAGTGTACTTCAGATTGAGAGAGCCCTCTTTTTCAAAAAAGATAAAAAAAAACCTCATGAAACATTCAGTAGGCCAGCCTCAGCACTGGGAAAACAATCGACAGATAACCAGAGGTGGAGGAGAGAGGGAGAGAGGCGAGAGAAGGGAGGAGAGGAGAGGTGACGGAGGGGGGAGGGGGGAGAAACGTGAGCTACAGCTGAATGTTTCATGAGTGGCACACAGAAGATAAGTCAGACTGACAACGACTCCACCGCCGCTGCACTCACTCTTCCCCATTAGGTTCTCTTCCTCTGCCGGTCCCTCCCACTCTCTATCACTTTTACCGTTCCTGTCTTTCACCTGTCTACTCAGGCACCCTGTTTCTCAAACTCGTAACGGCTGTTTCACGCCGCTGCACAAAACAAAGCTGAACAGAGGTGGGCTCTCCTTCGCTGGCCTAGTTACTCATCCATCAGAAGTGAGGTAACTGGGCTGGAAAGAACAATTCATAAAGGAATTATCTATGCCAAAAGATAAGCAGTGTTGATCAGACCTGGTCAGGTTTGTGACAGAAAAGGCGTCTAGTTTAAAAGTGGAAAATGTGGACAGAGAAAGTGAGGAGAAAATTGAAGAGTGTTATTCTAATTGGTCCCTGAAAGTCACAAGGAATATATGACTTGTTAAATTTCTTACTACTTTTCTCTTCCTTAACAATGCAACTAAGATTCAACTATTGCATAACCCCAAGCTTTTCCAGTAAAGCAAAAAGATTGCGGTTGTACAAGTTGTACAACTCATATATATACAGTTCTCTGTGAAGTTAAATCCAATATTCAGCTGAACAAAATGACTTACTGTTCCAAAATGACTAATAAGACAAAATGAAAAACATTATCACACTATATAATGGGACATAACTTAAATCACCTGCGTAAAAGTAGTTTGGGGTGGTTCTTGCTCTCCAGGTTGCGTTCTATAAGATCTGAGAGCAGGTGTTTGAGGATGTCTGTGGCGTACTCCAGCCGTCCCTGCAGAGCGGTCATGATGAGCGAGGCAACGTAGCCGCGGTCACGCATGGAGAAGGAGCGCTGCAGCTCCAGTGTACGGATGAATGTCAGCAGGAAAACCTTGTTATTCACCAGCTGAGCAAACTGCTTCAAGGCTTTCTCCACATTCGCCTGTCCGCTCCCCGGCACCTACACGCATCACGCATTTTTGCACACACACAAAGATGCACATGCTCATTAGATAATGTTCACCCAAGGATGAAAAATGTCACAACATAGATGGAGGATCATGAAAAACAGAATGAAATATACAGAAAATGTCTCATAAACCATCTCTGGGTGTAAATGCAAATTAGAACCACTGGTGCAGCTACAAGCTTTGCCCAGTAGCAGTGACGTAACCCTAATGCGCAGGTCCTGACACATCCATCCCCTCTGGGAAACGTTTGAGTTTCTAAACTTACTAAGATGTTTATCAAGAAAATACATAAAATAAGCTTCATCTCTCTGCAACAAATAAATGGTCTGTTATTTTAATTTTTAAACTGCAATCAGAGAGGCTCTTCAGAACACAGATCTTTAGAAATCTTTGTGACCATAATAACAGCTTGATTAACTCAACTATAAATGGCAACACCAGTCCAATTTGACCTAGAGTACCTGATAAGTTGTTCTAGAAATAATGAAAAGGCAAATGATTTGTCATCAGAGTCAGTTCTAAATTAGGTATGAAGGGCTTCAGAATTAAACCCTTGAGATCAAGGCAATAATAACAACAGTCTTGCCCATGTCAAAGAACATTTTCAAAACCAGGTCCTGAGTATGTGAAAAGATGAGGATAAGAACAAAATCAGAACAAAACAAATCCTACCTAAGACAAATATAAAACAGTCATTAAACACTATAGCACAAATGTAAAACTTATAGAATGATCTTCTTTATCACTTTATCAGATTAAATGTAGATCTATTTGCAGGACATCTGTACTGCATCTTTCAACATCCAACTCATTGATGCATAGGATTTTGACAAAGAAATACATAAACATTTTTATACTATCCTGATATAAGCTTTCTGATTAATAAATTAAACAGTGTGGGATCGGGTGTAGAAAAATTATTTGTTAAAAATGTTTTGAATGTAAAAAGTTAGGAGTCAGATACTCAAAATAGGTGCATGACTGAGACTAAGGGAGGGAGCAAACTCCAAATAAAATCTGCTCACAAGCTCTTTCGGCTGATGTGGACACCATTAAACAAACAGACCTCAAACCGCAGTGAGTAGACTGACATTTGCTCACACCGCTCTGTTCGACAGCAGTTTGACAGCACTTGCCAACAAGCCAAAATCAATTTAGTTTGGAGTATACTGGAGCCTTAAGGTCAAGATGTCAGAAAAATGGTTGAAACTGGATTCAAGTACTGCAGCGCTGCATCAGAGGTTACTTACCTCCAGCTCTCTGAGCACAGGGTGATCATCGATTCCGGGGAAGAGAACCCTCATGGCGTAAGTGCGATAGTCCAGGTAGGGGATGCCAGCTCGGTCCAGGTCACTCGTTAACTCATTGATGTCTGTCTGCAGCTCTGCAAAGGCTGCATATGACGGAGGTGTGAGTCAAATATTTTGTCAAACGTTTTGTGACATTGATCTTTTTAGCCTTTTATCACAGTAAAGTGTTTTCCTTTCTGTTTCTGATAAATACTTGAAACAGTCTAACAATTGAATGATGACAAATAGTGATTAGATGAATCAGAATCATGATGAGTTGGAAAGCAGTTAAGCAGTAAGCATTTAAAATCTATATTTTGAGAGTGTTTTATATCCATATGTCTCTGTGAATATTATACAGTTGTACATACTGTATCTTATCTTAGCTATATTTTTGTTTGTTACATTATTACAACTCAGAATATATCTCAACCTAAACTGTTTATAGCTTTAAACTGACCGATAACTTCGTACAGCTAGCTATCATTATTGAACTTTCATCAAATCTTTTAATCATTCCTCAGCCAATATATGTGAGTAAATAGATCTACATTCATAAATAATTTTGTTAGCAAGGCCAGCATAAACATCAGTCAAAACATCACTTCTCAACAGATGGCGCCATAAGGCAACAACAAAAGTAGATGTTCTTTTGGGAGTGTGAGTTTTAATGAACCTGATTTATGATAATATAATCTCTCAGATCAGTCTGACTCACCCTCCTTGCACTCCAGAGCCACTCTGGACTCCAGATTGTCCATCTGCATCTGCAGGCGCTTCAGAGTGAGGTCGTTCTCATGTGACTTCCGTCTGTAGGCCAGTAGGACTATAATGACGATGATGAGGAGGAGCCCTCCTCCAGCTGTGATGCTGAAGATGGCAGGAAGGGTTAGCAGGCTGTCGGACCGGATGTGAACTTCTCCTGGAGAGATGTGGAGTCCTCCTACTTGGACCTGGATAATAATAATAGCACAGGCATACATACAGTAATTCAAATCAGTGCTGAAAATAACAAAATAACAAAGAAAATAATCATTAATGAAAAAGGCTGAATTCACAATAGTGTGAAGTACAATAGAGATATGGACCATTTTTCTGAACAGTCTTTGAACGCCTTTGATTAAAACAAATTTTAAAGGTTTCAGGCACACCAGCTTTTCTTTTTACAACTCTTTTCTCATTATTTGCAAGAGTGTCTGTCAATAATTCTGGAGGGCAGTGTGCTGTAATTGGGAACCTACCAGACCATGAGTGACAGACAATGACAGAAAGCCAGCGACTAACTGAAAGCCTGTCGGTGACCCACAAACACAGTGACGTACAGACAAGCACTGACCTACAGACAGTGACCCACATCCATGCAGACAGGCAATCAGATGCACAGACAGACAGAAAACCGCTGCATAGGCAGAAACCGTTTTAGACTGACCAGGACTTTGTGCTGCCCGGTGAGGTTTGGTGGCTCACAGAGTAACTGAGTGTCGGACACAGTGAGAGAACAGGGCGTATCTCCAATAAGCACCGTGTAATTCAGCCTGGCTCCACCAGATGCCGATGGCACCAGGTTACGTCCCTGCAACACAGTTACAGAAGCAATGTAGAACTGCAGAAAATAACAATTTACTACAAAGAACAAAGTAGTTTCCAAAAAGTAAACAGTAATTGACAAACAAACAAATAAAGATCTGGTCTAAGGCATCAGATGAGAGTGTTTTTCAAATTCTATCTATTGTACAGTAACTCTAAACAGTCTAATGTCAATGTAATGTTTTCACCATTTTGGAACTTCTTGCTGATCATATGGCATTTTAAACCCAAAAATAAATTATTACCTTGCAATTTTGGTGCATTAGTATAATTACTGTAATCAACCATCTTGCAGTCTTTTACAGTACATTCTACACTGTGATTTTACAGGAAATCTGCTAAATTATTTTACCTAACAAAGGCAGATTGCTTCATGATGCAAACCCATCTGCCATGCTGTTCCTTCACAACAAACGGAGCTAAAGATGTGCGATTGCACATGGGGTAAAAGCGAAAGGCAGATGGAAAAATCTATTCCAGAAACTACAAGTTGTGTCCTCCCTGTGACAGGAAGCACAGGAGTTCATCGGGATTGTCAGAAAAGGACATGTCGTCAGAAAAGCTTTTTTTCTCAGTTAAAGAATCATGAGATAGAGAAGAAATCCCAACTTATGTTTACAACATTAGAGAATAGAATTAATTTCACAATAAAACCGGTTTAGAAATATTAATTCTAGCAGATAATGTGATCAGATTTATGAATAACTGAAGGGACAGCAGTGAGGGTTAGGGTAAAGATGCAATTCTTATATGTCACTGTTAATACCAGACTCAAGAATTCCATCTGTCTGTTGCAGGGAATTAAAAAAATAAACCATAATTGCAGTAATAGCATAATTGCAGACGTACTTTGAGTATGATTGGAGCACCAGGTTTCTGCTCCAGGACTCCTGATAGACTGAGTGGTTCCAGGTAAGGGTTGGGGTAGTATACAAAACTGGTGTTGTTGTACGTGAGCAGAGCTTGGACGTTGTTGAAGACAAAGCCAAACTCGTCCACGTGTTTGATCGTCTCCTGGTCTGCAGTGTACTCTGCTTTCAGAGAGGGGGCAAAGCAGCTGATGGTGGTTGTGTTCAGCACTTTGCACACCTGGAATAGAATAAAAGCAGGTGTCCAAGTTACACTGAGTACACAGTGTCACAGTACAAACAATACCCACAGCCAGTGTGATACGTATTATGGAAACCACATACGACTACATATGACCATACACATATTTAATGATATAATGTCTCACAGTGTTGTTTGCTGCATGATTAATAATTGCATAAATTATTGAAAGATGCAGATAATTAATCTACTTACGGGTTCATTATGAGAAAATGTCAACTTTTAAAACCCCAGCTGAAAATCCAGGAGTCAATATTTTACCCACAGAAATATCTTTTGAAAGCAATTCAACTTAAAAATTTTTTAAATCTTCTAGCAATCATTAATTCTGTCTCATGTGAAGACATTAAGGCAATACATTTAGGACTGCTTGCATTTTTTTTTATAAATCTGGAAACCACTTTTGCAGAGTAGATCCGAGCAGATGTCACATTTCATGCCCAAATGTGACCATTAACATCCAGATGTTATGAATCTTTTGGAGCCTTTTAATGTCATTCAACTTTAAATATACTGATGGTCTTTGCAGTGTTAACCTACAAAACCTAAAATTAAGGATATCTATATGTCTGACTGATGAATAACATCAGCTGTTACAGTATCTCCAGCATATTTACCTCATCCTATCCATATGTTCACCTGTCCGCTCTTATGTTTTTGACCTTCAGCCTGTAAATGCATGGCGGCTGCTTTGCCACTACAATTGCTACAGTACTGACACTAAAGGCAGACACCTGTGTCATGTTATTGAAGGACATTTCTCCTGTATATCTACTAGAAACTATATTTCATATCCAGCCAATCACCTACCTAGATAATACCAAATTCCTATAACAGGAGTTAGTTATTAATACTTTATCAATACTTGGATACTTTATCAATAACCAGTAGCTCTCTGGAATTGGAATGCGCCTTCTGTTTTCTTGTGTAGTTCTTGAAAATCTGTCTCAAAATCAAACAGATCTTTTAAACTCCACTAGCTTCAAGCCAATTTCTAAGCTTTGGTTTTTATCTTAGGTTTCACAGAAAGTTGTTTCGAGTCAATTAACTGCTTTTGTAATTCAAAATATTTTTAAGCAATTCCAGTTATGTTTTCAAGATATGTGCGATAAAGAGACTGCCCTCATTAAATTTACCAATGACCCTCTTTTAGCTGCTGATTCGGGTTAAAGTTCAGCTTTAATCCCTTTAGATCTCAGTGCTGCCAGTGACACTGTAAAACATGCAGTTTTAATTGACTGGCTCAAATTCTGGGCTGGCATCATTACCAAGCCATTTAATTGGCTCAGGGCATACCCCTCACACAGAACACTGTCTACAGAAAAAACATGTTCTTCAAACACATTACAATTTTCACTGGCCTCATCTTGGTTTTCTTTTGCATGCTTCCACCTCAGCTATATTATCTTTAGATACAGTGTTTCTTTATAGGAAAAGCACTGAAACCTAAACTGTGAGGCAGCTGGCAAGAATATTGTTGCCAGGCTTCAAGCTATGCACTTGTCAGTCAGCATCCTATGGAGAACTACTGGCAGCTACAGCATGAGCTACGGGCGTGGTTTACCGCTAGGTTTATATGACGATATGTGTGAGAGGTTAGCATAGATGCTGCTAGGATCGGTTATATCAGAGTATATTTTCTCACTCTTCTCTTTCTTTTTCACTCTTCTCCCGGCTGGCTTCGGTAAGAGTTTGATTACATTGTATGGTTTGCTGATCTGACTGGTTGAAGTTCGCCTGTGATGGACAGTGATAGATAGGTGGTTCATTCGTTCAGCTACCTAGTATTTTTTTTAAAGTGGCTTTCCTTTTCCAAACAGTTTCCAAAGATGAGGCACATTCCCCTTTCCAGGAATGCCTCAATTATATAGCATGTGTTTTGTGTTGTTAATTGAAAAATTCAAGCTGTTTAGAGACTGACCTCGACTTTGTTCCCCTCAGCTAACAGCATTTCCAAACAATTTCTCAAACTGACATATAAATAATTTATTGGTCTAGAAAAAAACATTCATCCTCATACTATATGTCTTTATTTTGAGATCAATAAAAATTGTCTATGTCTATCTTAGGCTGGTACCAAACTATCTTATCATTCCATTTCTGGCATCTCTTCACTAGCGACCCTAAAATTAATTTTTTATGATTACCGGTATATTGATTTCTTTCCAGGTCAAGCCAAAAGTTACCTCCAGAAGTTTTGACCCTGTATGCAGTCTCAGATCCTCAGGCAATTCTCTGACTTGTCCAGTGTGGAAAACACTGAGGCTAAAGGTGACTGGACTTTTGCCATCGGGGCCCCAGCACTTTGGAACAATCAATCACTTTGAAGTGACCTGCCTAAGGAGCTCAGGCAAGCAGAATCAGCACCATAAATCACCTCCAAAAACTATGTTGTACTTTCATGTCAGTTTTTCAAAATCTCATTTTGAAATGAACCTCACTGTATTGATCATCTTTCTAACTCTTTTGTTTATATAGCATGGCTTAATTTCTACATGCACAGCAGCACATTTTCTACTACAACTACGACCTATTGGATTGTGCCATAGTATGTCAAGCTCTTGTTGGTTGATTTGCACTCCATCATGCAGGCTGTTTGGTACAGAGACTGGTTGTTTTTTCTGCTGTTGTTCACACTTTTGGTAGTTCTGTAGGTATACAATATTACATACTCAAAAGCCTAAACTAACCTGTCACTCCATTATAAGAACTATAGATTTGTGGCCAAACTGCATAAATACCTTTGGCTACATTAAAATAATGTCAGTACAGACCAGTATGTATAAACAAAAACTAGCACATTTAATTCACCACAATACTAAATCTCCCTTGTTAAAACTGTAGCAAACTATCAATAAAGAACACAACTGTGACATTTTCTATCAGCTTGAGTAAGCAAAATCAATAATGGTTGAGTGCAGTATATAAGCAGTTGTCACACTTACATTGACAGATTCATGGCCGCCATATTTGACTCTGACTCGTGGCTCCTGAACTACATCCAAGTTGGTTCCTGTCACTGTCAGGGTGGTGTGTCCGCTGTTTGCAAGGAAGGAACAAGTTGATTCATAACTAACAAGAATTATTAGTCAAACACACACACACACACACACCACTTCAGCACCAGGTAGCCTATATATGAAAACAAACTGAATTTTCTCCATGCTTTAATTAGTGGCAGCCGCAAAGAGATCAATCTTTTTAACTCGCAAACCTACATTTTCCAGAGAAACTGCATTAATGCACGTTTGAGGAAGTATGGCTGGCATGGTAGCTAGTTCTTTGTTATTGGGCAGAAGAGCCAGATCAAACGGCGAACCAGCTGGCTGCTATTTTATATTCATCCATGACTGTGAGGCTGGCATAGCATGAATACAGGTGCTGCTTGTTTACATATCTGTGCTAGATGTGATTAAAATAGACCACTCTCTCTAATCTTTGCATAACCTGTGCTGCAGTGTGAGTTTAGAAACCTATAGTATGAAATTGAAAAGTACAGAAGGAGAGACAAAGACGGGAAGAATACAAGAGAGAAAATGAGGAAAAATGGCTTCAAAAAACTGGCCAGTCTAGTCAGCCTGACAGAGTGCCAATCCTTCTCTTCTCACACTTCAAAGGGTACCTAAGCTTGTAGGGCCACATAGTGGGACTGCACATTCATGATGAGGGCTCTTGATTGCAGCTCCACAAAGCTCCTCCTGTCACTAGGCTGAGGGCCAGGGTGTCTCTCTGAAGTCTAATCTGTAGGGACGTAGAGCTGGGTAATCCCACCCGAAACCAAATTAAGTGCCATTTTTTATTTAGTGGAATACAGGTAATGCACCTTTCAGCTGTGATAGAAATGTTTATGCAGCAAATTCACATTCGTGTTATATTAGCGGCATCGCACTCATGCATGTGTAGCATAAATACAAGTACTATATTGAACACAGATTTAAATTTTTGTGTTAGTCACCTTGTGGTGATGAGGTATCGTTTAACAGCTTTGTTATAATTGACTACCACAACACCGCACACGTTTGACTAATCAAAACTAACACCATATTTGTCACCCATAAGCATGGGAGAACCCCGTAGAACTGCCAAATGTATTCTCTATTTGAAAGCAAGAATCATTTGTTAATGGTGACGCTGCTACCATTTGAGATATGCATGTAAGCACTATGAATCGTCTTTGTGTGACTGGCACTAATGTTTGCATCACTGTTTGAGGTAACAGGAATACAACAAAACCCAGATTAACACTGGAAAACTCAACACAGAAAATGTTCAGGGAATGAAACTCCATTCTCGTGAGGTGTAAATGCGTACATTTGGCTGGTATCTGTGTTTATGCAGTACTATATTGATTAATGTTACCTGGTAATGCTCCACAGGGGATCAATGCGTTGGACCGTGGGGTCTTCTATGTACTCAAAGGCCAGACTTCCAGGAACTTTGGCCCTGTCCACACTCAAACTGACTTGCACTGGTCCGGCTTTCGTCACAGACGGCGCAGAGAAGCACACAATCTCCGACATGGTCCTCCTGGTGGGAGTACCAAAAGTGGGATTTATTCATGCCTTTGATTGTGACTGCCCACTCGCTGCTGCAGTGGCAAATCCCTGACTTCACGCAGTTATGAGCCATGCACATTACTATACGGATAGAGGATTCATTATAGACTGTCCCATCTCTTCCTCGTTACAGACACATTAAGGATGGAACACTGTAATTAGAGGGTGATCTAGCTAATGGCTTCCTCGCCTCACCCTCCTGACTCCTAGCTTGTGAGGCATTTTGAACTTTAAATAGACATCTATAAATACACAGAATAATACCTAACGCTGTGGGTTTCGTCACCTCCTCGCAAATCATTATTAGGAGTTTTCATTTAACGCACAGACACTTAATTGTATCTTAAGTGCTTCTTGCAATAGAGCAATCTCTTACTGTGTTTCAGAGAAATTACAGAGAGCTAAATCTTTAATATTGTGTGGAGGTCGTCATCAAGAGGTTGTGTTATCATCAGACTCACCTATACAGCTCACAGGTCTGATTACCAAAGTACACATTAACAGTGCTTCCAGCGCCCAGATTCTCCCCGACAATGGTGACCTTGGTGCCCCCAGATTCAGGTCCTCTGCCTGGGGTAAGGGCCAGCATCGAAGGGGTCTGTGAAGAGCCAAAATTCATTAATGTTTCATTCAACATAGGTCAAACACAGAATATAGTATGTCTTATTAACTGTCTGATTCTGAAAAGCCCTGTTCTACTGGCCTTGGCCGAATAAATCACTGTGGAAAGCTAATAACAAAACTGTTAGAAAGGAACACCAAAGAGCTTCTTTAGAAAAAAAAATAGTTTAATGAAGTATGAACCCTATCAATGATTTCAAAAATACTACTAATACAATGCATCTTCAAAAGCAAACAAACATCTTTATTGGCTTCAGTACAATAAAGCGCACCATTCTTTTCATTAGCAACACACAGTGAACAAATCATTAGAAACAACTTCATAATTATGATGAACTGTCTTATGCACAATCTGCTGTATGTTGTACTTAGAAATTATTCTGTCTTCATCTGCAGTGAGTCATTGCATTGGCTTGAATAGATCAAACTAGTCCAGGTTTTCATCTAATTCAGTTCAGCCCAATTCATAGCAAACACTTGATGTTTGTTTCAGAGACAAATAGACAAAGTAAATGTGTTCCAGTGTCAGATTTACCACAAAGGAGTAGAGCTGGGAGGACTGTGCACGTAATTCTGGTCTGCATTCGCCGACACACAGCTTAACTGGACCTGGTGCACTTCCTTTGGGAGCCGCAGCCATCTCACACACAATCCTGACAAAAGATACAGATACATGAATGTGGGTGCACAGAAACACTGGCATGCAACAGATCCTCATGCATACAAGTAATAACATAAGCCAGGCACAAACACACAGCAGAATCACAGCACTATATCACATTTGTTATGAAATGCACTGGGAGAAAAATGGCCTCTACTGGCCAGTGTGATTGAGGCAGACTTTCATAGAAGTTGTGGGTCAATACAGAGGGCCATCTTTCTTCCTAATGGGAAACCTATAACAGCAATATAACTCAAATGATAAACTACACCCCTCCTCATCTCCAGCACGATTGCCACCCACCATTACCTCTGGTTGCCATGACAACATAGGGTTTTCTTCAATAAATCAGTATTGCCTGTCAGGTCAATAAGATAAAGTGTGCCATGAATAAGTCATTATAGCAACTGACCCCATGCTGAAATTAATGGTTGTAACAACTGTAATGCCATGTTTTTAAAGCACAGTGTGTGCCAAATGAATGGCCCTGCCGAATGCACAGCTCTGTGCAAGGAACTCTGCGTTCCCCGATACAATAAGAGCACCCAATGAATCGTCCCTGCCCAACCCTTCTATTCATACATCACGAGAGTTTTCCAATTTTCTGCTGGCATGTTCTTTTCTTTTCTTTTCTTTTTTTTTTTTTTTTTTTACAAGGATATAAATAAAGTCCCTGCAGCCTGAGCCCAATCGCATTACATGGCTGTGAGAGAAACACATGGCTAACAGATTGTCCCTCCAGTCAGCGACATGCAGCGCATTTCAATTACAGCTGTGCCGACAGCCTCATAACGACAACGACACAAAGACTGTCTCTTCCTTTGGCTCTGACTGCACCAGAGCAATGCAAAGCCCCCCACACAATCCTACAACCTGATGAGGCATCACTGGGCTCCGGCTTATTCACAGACTAAGCTAGTGTCTGCGAGAAAAATAGTGTGAGAGCAAGAACGAGATTGCATGTGTTTATTTTCTTGTGTTTGTGTGTGTGCATCTGTACAGTACAGTATGAATCCATGGGTGTCTGTACAGGGAAGGGGAGGAGTCTCTCTTACTGTTCTGCTGTGATGTATCCCTCCTCCTGCGGGGTGCACTGCACACCCGCCACCTCCACGTTGCCCTGCAGCTCGGAGAAGGACAGACCCAGGTTTAGGCCCTGGATGGTGACCAGTGTGCCCCCCTCTTGAGGTCCTGCCACTGGGCTCACCTAAGTAAGAAGGAGGAGGGATGAAGAAGAAAGGATTTTATGTACAGTAATGGGTCCTCAGATATCAGCTCATCAGTCATGTCCACCCCCATATAACCGAACACAAACCTGCAATGCAAGTAGAATAATAATAAAATAAAATAA